CATGCAGGTGACTGCAGCCTTGGGAATATGGGGCCCATAGGTAGGTGTTGGCCTCGGCACGCCATTGGCTTTTGTCCTAAGAGCTATGGAAAACCACTGAAGGGTTGGAGTCTTCAACAAAAATTGAGGCCCTGTCAGCAATGAAGAAGAGGGGCATGGATATCAGGTGCACAAGGGACAGTACCCCTAGAAACACCCCCAAACATTATCTGAAACAGAACTCTCCCATTTCCCACTCCCCCATAAATAGCATGATTTGCTGTTTCTCATCCTAGTGAATGTCTTCACCATCCATCCAGTAGCTCGGGCCAAAAATCTAGGCCACATCCAGAACACCCCTTTTGTCTTCTCGAACCCCTATTCCCCAGGTCCTCTCCATGGCCAAGTCCTGTCGACTCCCCCTTCTAAATATCTCTGCAATGCATTCACTTCTCCATCTCCACCATTACATTCATGCAGAGGTCTCTTGTGCAGTGACTTTCAATGGCTCCCCAAATGCTCTCCTACTCTGGTGGCCTTTTCAAAATACAAATCTGATTGTGTCCATGCCCTGCCTTTAGGGAGGGATACAGGGTAAATCTTGATTGGCCTTAGCCCATCATGGCAGACTCCTTCCCCTTGCCCTTGATTGGTTTTGTTGTGGGCAGAGACCCAGTGACTCATTTCTGGTCACTGGATCTCATGTGTTGCTTCTGAAGGGCTTCTGGGAAAGAAATTCTTGCTCTTCGGAAAAGACCATTGGAAGAAAAGGATGCTCTTTATTTTTCGGGACACTGTCACATTTGGGTATGCTTGGGATGGCGGCAGCCATCTTGCTTCCAGCCGGAAAGTGCGATTCCAGGGACGGGTGGGAAGCGATGTCTGAAGCAGCGGGTGCTACTCCCAGAGCCTGCCCTCCTACCGTGTGACGTGAATCCCCTTGCTATATAAGGCAGCTTGACTTAGGGTTTCTGGCACAAGCATTCTCGGGCACCCAGTGCGACACTGACAGTTGTACATAAGCAATGGAAGCTTGGTGGAGAGGTCTGAGCTGGAGCAGGTCCTGGGGGAAGCCTGGGGGAAGGAAGGAGCTTACCAAGGAGAGAGTAGAGGGTGACTCCAGAAAACGTCTGGGAGAGGATGGTGAGCCTGCAAACAGGGTTGGGAGGGATTGGGCCAGAGAGGTGCCCAGGGAGACCACCCGTGGCCAGAGGGAAGGATTTCCCGCTTGCCTTCCGCTTTATATTGATTGAGGCTAGTATTAAGGACATGACAGCATTCCTAAGGGTATTCGGCCTCGACCAAAGGAAGCGACTGAGAAGTGTTTTCAACTAGGGGAGGAAGTTGGATCTCAGAACCAGCCCTGGGGATTAACAGGAGTCTGGCTGCCTGCCACTGGAGAAGGCCGTTTCACCAGACTTTCCAAGGCGACCAAAAATGGAACAACTTGACCGGACATTATTTCTCCTCTTCTGAGTGTAAGATACTGAGTCAGGTGGAGATTGGAAGGACATTCCGGGAGAAGGCAACATTGTAAGAAAAGGCGTGGCGGTGTGAAAGCCAAGGGCAGCCATCACAGAGTAAGGCTGGAGACAGACACGGGAAATGAGATGAGAATATGGGAAGGAGGCCAGCCTGAGGTGTGCCCTCTAAGTCTGGCCGAGTTCAGATGTATTCAGCCCAAAAGGGCTTCGGTGGAAAACTTCTGAGCAGTAAAGGGGCAGATGCGCTAAAGGTGTTCCGGATCGAAGGGAGGGCTTGGGAGGTAAAAAGAAAGCCAGTCAGGGGACCAGGAAGACGTCGTCAGACTTCAGTTTGCGCCACACCACCAGAGGCGCGTGTGACAAATGTGCTTTCCTGCTGCTCACCTCCCCCCATGCGGATTCTACGGGCTCAGTCTGATTGGTACATTTTTTGAAAGCTCCTCTGGCGGAAGCTACTGCCAAGTGATGACCTGGGAGTTTAGTTCCCACCATGGGCTCCTCCTACTCCGCGACAGAGAACACGGGCGTCTGTCAGCGTTATATAAAACATTCCCGTAGATTCCTCCGACCCGACAGCCACTCCGGGCGGCCCCAGGAGGCAAGACGAAGGGGCCCTCGGAGCTCGTGGCTCCCCGAAAGGGGGGCTCACGCCACGGGCCCCGCCCGCCCGTCCGCAGGTCACGCTCGGCCCCACCCCGGCCCTGCCCCGGCCCTGCCCCGGCCCTAGCTTGGAAAGACCGCAGTCGCAACAGCCGCCCTAAAAGGCCGCAGTGACCACGCACTAGCCTGTGGGCGGGTCTCTATGATGACTGGCGGATGCCACGACCAATTACGCTCAAGTGCTTGTTTGTTTCCGCCCCCTCCCACCCACGGGGCCGATACTTCCGTGAAGGACAGTTCACTCCCAGCGCTGTTACGTAAGGGGAGGGTCCGGCGCTGCCCCACCCGAGAGGAGCAGATTTGATTGGTAGGACGGAGTGCTGTCGTCCTAACGCCCCCGGAAGAACGTCCCTGACGGACAGGTATGGGAGCCAGTTGGCGCCGGGAAGCTGAGCGGAAGCGTCCAGGCTCAGGGGCGTGGGGCAGGGGGCGGGGCCCGACACCCAGAGCAGGGCGGGGCGGGGAGTCGGCAGGGGCCGGGCTGGTGCTGCGGCCAGAGATGCTGTGGGGCCGCGACGGCACTCAGCTGCCGGGAGCATTGCGTTGAAAACGTCGAGGTGAGGTGCACTGCTTGCCCAGCTGCGGCGGGGGGGCCGTGAGGGCCGTGGAGTCCTTCAACCCGGGCCGCTAGGGTCCTCGGCCCGGCATTTGTCTGTCCTACCCCGTTCTCTGGACTCCGGAGCGACGGCGGCCGCGCTGGGACACGGGGGCGGGGCCGGGCACCTGTCTCTGTTTGCAGGCACCTGCTGCGCCGGCTGCCGCCGGCCTCGGCCCGGGGCTGGGGACTCTCCGGCTGCTAGGCAGGGAGGCAGGCCCGACCGGCTCGCCTCGTCTGCGTCCCGCCCTCTCCGCCTCCGTCCTGCGCTCTGGTTGGGGGTGGGGGGAGCCGTCCCCGAGCCCTGGAGGCCCTCAGCACCCCCCCGGAGGGGCTCGGGCCCGGCCTCGAGCTAGCTTCGAGGCTGGGACACGGCCCCTGCCTTGCATCACCTCGAGACAGGTTTGTCCGGATTCCGTGCGTGTGCAGAGATGGATTTCCGCCCCGGGCGAGGGTGCCCGTCCCGGCTGTCCGCAGGGAGCCGGGCCAGGGCCAGGGCCGGGGCTGTTTTCGTCTTTTCTCGGGGCCGTGCTTGGTCTCCTCTTAACGTGGAATTTAAAGCTGTTCGGGGTGATGTCTTAAGTTAGTGCCTATTTAGGGACCAAGGCACGTAGGAAAGCAGCCCCTTTCTCTAAGTTTTGGCTCATGTCACGTTCAGATCATTCGTACAGGTCCAAGATACTGATTTCTCAGCTTGTGACATAAAGGAAGACCGTGTGTTTGGTTCATATGGCCAGCATAGGAACCAGCAGAAATTTTCAAATTGTGTCCTAGGGCTTCCTTCCATTCGTGTCACTCCTGTTGGAAAATGCTGTACCGGGCCTGGGTAGACTAGACATCTAATAAACGGTGTAGGTATTCTCTAAAAGGGACTATATTTCCAGGCGATTATGCTGCTCTTGGAAACATTGGCAGCAGTAGAAAAGATTTTCAGCTTAAGGATAGGAGGCACTGGCGGCAAGTTTTGATTCTTAAAGGCACCGTCATAGAATCATTATGCGTTTAGACGTGGAAGGGACCATACAGGTGAATGATCCACCCCAATAAATTTACATTGTATCTTAACCGGAGGGCGTCCCCTGTTAAGTCAGATCCGTCCTAGATGACAGCGGGGTGCTGGACAGTACTCTGGATCTGAAAACCAGCGTTTTCACTTGGGTCAAAACAGGAACCTGCCAGCACACATTTCTGATGTCCCAACCATTTTCTTTTCTTTTTTTTTTTTTTTTAAATGTTTTATTTCTAGGAGAGAGAGAGAGAGACAGCGTGAGCAGGGGAGGGTCAGAGAGAGAGGGAGTCACAGACTGAAACAGGCTCCAGGCTCTGAGCTGGCAGTCAGCACAGAGCCCGATGCGGGGCTCGAACCCACGAACCGCGAGATCATGACCTAAGCGAAAGTCGGCCGCTTAACCGACTAAGCCACCCAGGCGCCCCGATGTCCCAACCATTTTCATCCGTGTCCTAGTCCCCTTTAGAGGCAGATTGGTGGAGCGCTCTCAGCAGTGTTGCTATTTATTGGATGTAAGTCAACAGGTTAGTGGAAGAACCAGGAGCCTCATTCCTTTGATTTAATTACCGGGTGGCATTATGTGGTGGAAAGGAAAACAGCAGTAATTGGCATCGGGGCGGTATGGGAGACTTGGCACTCACCTGTGGATATCGCTGGATTGTCATGAAACAAATTTTTGCTGTCCAGGACATGTGGTACATGATTCTCTGATGATGTGCTTCTTAGGAATTTGGTAGAATGTTGCAGAGTTCTGACCCTTTTGCCCTTCAGCCTTTCTGATGGGTGCGGGCAGGCTGGTGCCTACAGCAGAGACCCGCGTTAAACACAGCCGCGCCTGGGGAAGATCACCAGAACCCAGGAGCTGCTGTTCTTCAGCTTGGCTCACTGCTTTGTCCCTGCGTCTGCCTCGGTATTTTTAGTAAATGACCCACTGACTTTGTGACCTTTGAGGCATACTTTCTGGTCCATTACTTGAAGCTTTGCTGGAAGACTTGTTCAGGAGAGGACCCTCTACACTTCTCTGTGGCATGTCTGTTGGCAGCTCCTTCCGTGGGTGACCTGGCAGTTTCTACACTGGAAATAGCTGAAATAAACCATTTCTCGGGGGTGGTCCTGGCAGGACCCAGTTATCCCTCTCTGGCTTACATGCTCTGCCTTCTCTCTCTCTTATGTCTTTGGCTACTAGTTTTGCTGGGGAGAATCGTTTTGTACTGAAGACAACTCGTATAAGACACTGAAGCCAGCCCCCTTGCCTCCTTAGCTCCCCTAGCTGTGCACAGTGACAGGGCTGGGTAGGTGGGTACGGTGCCACCCCTGGCCCTCCCTGTAGCCCAGTGCCCGCGTGCGATGCCAGCAGCAGCTGTTATAGTCCAGCCGCACACTCTGCATTTTGGCACCAAAGCTCAACTGTACCGCTGAATATTCTGAATCCTGGCTGAGGACTCAGTACACAGATTGCCGTAGGCATTTGCAGGTGGGAAGGAGTAGCTCAGTCAAGCGTCCAGCTCTTGATTTTGGCTCAGAACATGATCCCAGGGTGGTGGGATCAGCGTGGATCCTGCTTCAGATTCTCTCCCCCTCTGCTCCTCCCCCCAGCCTCAAGTGCACGCACGCTCTCAAAAACATAAAATAAAAATAAAAGTGGGAAAGAAACTGGAGTCAGAAGAGGGAGGAAGGGGTATTAAAGAAACTTTCTGAAAACTTTTTTCCCCTAAGTTTTTATAACTGTCTACTATATGATGCTAGTCGAACTTCTGTTTAGAGTGTCAGATTCAGTTCTTAACTATCCTGGAATTCTTAACTGTTGGTGTTGGTATGTTTCTGTGTTTTCCCATCTCATTTTTAGGTAAGGCGACTTCTGAGGACCGAAGAGTTTGATGACACAGACCACTGAATTCCTTTGTTTGGAGTCCACGTTATGAACCCTTTCTGGAGTATGTCTGCAAGCTCTGTCCGCAAAGTAGGTGTAGTTGATAAATTTAGTGAGGAAACCTATTTGAGTCAAAGTAGAAATCAAAATAATTCGTACCGAGATTGCCTATAATCTTAACAAAATTACCTGGCTTTCCTGGTTTAGGTTGTACCTTTTTTTTTTTTTTTTAAGTTTAATATTTACTTATTTTTAGTAATCTCTGCTCCCACTGTGGGGCTCGAGCTCACAACCCCGAGATCAGGAGTCCCATGCTTTTCCCTCCCAGCCAGTCAGACGCCGCCACTAGGTTTCACTTTGAGAAGTAATGAGGTTGCTGATTAAAGTCAGTTTCTGAGACTGAGATCGCAGCTCAGATAGAAACCAATTCTGGTAATCAGAATTCTAAGATTATCTTGACTTTGGTTATGTTTCCACATGATGAAATTTGTGACACATGATTGTGGTAGTCTTTTTACCTAATCTGCGGGGTTCCATTAGAGGAGCCTTGAGAAAGACCTTTCCAATGCAGTCTACTCAGCCTTGAGGGCGCTGGTTTAATTTTTCCAAACAGAAGGTCTATTTTTAAATTGCAAGAACAGTACGTTTTACGAAAGCTTCGTGCAGACAAAAAGAGAAGGGCTGTATGCCCTAATTCCACCGCAGGAGACCACCACCATTAATCATCTTTTTTTCTGTGCAGATGATATCCATTTTTAATGTAGCTCATTAAAAAGCCTGTGGCTGTACTTGAGTCAGGGAAGGGCCTGTGAGGTGGTGGTTTAATCTCTAACTCATTTAGACCTAGATCTTTGACTGGCTGACAGTGTATGCTGACCACGCACACGCGGGTCCCGTCCATCAGAGCAGATCAGAATCAGCACGAGTGAGCATAGCGTCATTTGTTGTTTCGAAGCGAGGTGCTAACATCAGGTGGTGACTGGTTTCCTCCACCTGGACTGCTTGTTTTGAGCTGCTTTGCACCTGACCTTCTACAGCACCTAAGAGCCAGGGGACTTTCTAGCCTTGTACAGTTGTCTTTTGGCTAAGTAACCCCTTGCCCTCTTTTTGGGGTCCCCAGAAGAAGCCATTTCTTTCTGTTTCATGTAAATCCTGTAAATAAATATTGGCTTTATTGTTTTCATAGGATTTGTAGCTTTAAAAACATTTCCTGTTGCTTTAGCCTTCCTTCAGCTTTGATCTCCAATACTTGGCCTGCTCAGAGGACTTTCAAGTCACCTTGATCATGGTGCTGGAACGTCCTTGTGAAAGAGCCATTCCAGCTTTTAGGTCAAGGATAAAAAAACACATCACATGTACTTAAGAATCATGGTTTAAGAATCAGGGACACCTGGGTGGCTCAGTGGGTTAAGTGTCCGACTTTGGCTCAGGTCATGATCTCGCAGTTCATGGGTTCAAGCCCCGCGTCGGGCTCTGTACTGACAGCTAGCTCAGAGCCTGGAGCCTGTTTCAGATTCTACGTCTCCCTCTCTCTCTGACCCTCCCCTGCTCATGCTGTCTTTCTCTTTCAGGAAAAAAAAAAATCATATTAACAGGGGTGGCTGGTTGACTCAGTTGATTAAGTGTCTGACTCTTGATTTTGGCTCAGGTCATGATCTCACAGTTTGTGAGATTGAGCCCCACATTGGGCTCTATACTGACAGCACAGAGCCTGCTTGGGATTCTCTCCCCCTCTCTCTCTGACCACCGCCCCCCACTCTGACTCAGGCATGCTCTCTTTTCTCTCTCTCTCTCAAAATAAAAAAATAAACATTTAAAGAAAGAATCGTGCTAACAAATGTTCTTACCACTTCATCCTGAATAGCGATCAGACGGTGAAGAGAAGGCATTAACAGGGGACGTGGTAACCAGCCCTCCACGCACCGCTCCAAAGAAACAGCTACCTTGTATTCCCAAAAACGCTTTGCCCATCACTAAGCCTACATCCCCCGCACCAGCAGCACAGTCCACAAATGGCACCCATGCTTCTTACGGACCCTTCTACCTGGAATACTCTCTTCTTGCAGAATTGTAAGTGCTTAAACTATTTGGTTAATTTTTGAATGACTTTGAGGATGAAAATGAAAATTATCCTGGTGCACTCTGTAAATGGCTGTGTCATTGAATCTTAAAGCTCAAATGCATTACCTTCCAATATCAGGTAAATAAGATTTAAAGGCAAATGTGAGGGGGCGCCTGGGTGACTCAGTTAAGTGTCCGACTTTGGCTCAGGTCATCATCTCATGGCTCGTGAGTTCAAGCCCCACGTCAGGCTCTCTGCTGACAGCTCAGAGCCTGGAGCCTTCTGATCCTGTCTCCGTCTCTGCCCCTTCCCCGCTCATGCTTTCTCTCTTTCAAAAATAAATAAAACATTGAAAAAACATTTTTAAATAAGCAAAGGCAAATGTAGGCTTGCATTTCCATGTCTGTTTTGGAGAGCAAGAGGAAGAGACTAAGATTAAGCAGGTCAGGAACTGAGCAATTTGATCTTGGTGTTCCTTTGTATGAGGTGAGGAAGTCCCCTTCTGCACAGGCACTTGCAGAGAGCGGGACAGCGGAGGGCAGCGCTCCACTGTGCGCCACCTCGTAAAAGGCCTCCTGACAGACAGAGGAGAGGGTCCCAGTCAGGGGTTCAGAAGAGTCAGGTCAGGAAGTCCGACCTTAGGCATCAACGACTGAAGGAACTGGACCCGCTAGCTTAGAGAAAACTTAGAACGTCCTTGGTAACGCTGCCTTCGGGTATTTGAAGGCCTGTCATTAGAGAGGGGGTTTGAGTTCTGCTGTGTGACCCACGATGGCAGAAGTCGGCAGTCACAGGGGAGTTACAAAGATTGGGGCTTCGGGCAGGTAAGAACCTCTGGGTCGCACACGGCTGTCAGGGGAGGAGAGGGGCGCTGGCCGCGCCTGGCCCGCCGCAGGGGCTCCCACGGCGCTGGGTCCGCGCATGTGTTCCCCGGGCCCAGGTGTGGAGAATGAGTTCTTCACCTCTGTCATTTTAAGTCATTTTAAGTCCCTTTGTACAGCGTCCCCAGGCATTCCCTCACGGTCCTCGTGCCGTCACGGTCAGAGGGTCTGAGGCCCCAGTGCAGTTGGCAGAGTGGGATCCGGGGACAGTGGTCCCTTCAGCTTTATAATGGAGGCCTTGTGTCTGAGGCCGGGCAGCGGGCAGGACAGGCTCCTATTGTGGCCTCAAATCTGCGCGGCCTCATGGTGGCACAGGCATCTGCCAGCCCTGCTGCTGCTGACGTGCTGACATTTCAGTGACTTAAAAATGGAGAAACGACTCAAAAATGTGAATACAGAAGTGTGACGGCAAGTAGGTAATAAGAACAGTCGGCTAGGGTCTAAACGTTGCTTCTCTAACAAAATTGGGGCTTGGCGGGTTCCACACGTTTCAAGGCCCTGGGTCAGCGTCCCTCCTCAGGACGCCCTGGGCCAGCGTCCTTCAGGGTCCGGTCCCTGCCGTCCTTCCTCAGGCTCCCCGGAGAGCCAGCCCCGCCGCTGGCCGCGCACGGTCTTCCCTCGCCGCAGCGCCCGCACCGGGGCCGGGCTGTGGGGGCCCCGCTGCCTGCCTTCCCCGAGGACCCCGCACGGCCCCCTGCCACACCGACGGGGGTCCGGGCCTCGGTGACGGCAAGCCCGTGCGATTTTTATTCTTAATTACCTACAGCTGTGTTTCAGGTGGCTTTTAACCGTGTGTGGGTGAAATCTGTTGTCCACAGTCACAAAAGCATTTACCCAAAATCTAGTGCCCCGTTCAGCACTACCTACTGGCCGGTTTCCAAGATGATGTTTTGGGAAACTTGGCTTCTGGGAGGAAAACTTGATTCTCTGTGTACCTGTTTGGCTTGAATCCCCGAGTCCGGGGCCCGCAGCGGCTCCGTGTGTCTCTGTGAGCTCGAGTTATAAAGCTGGGCTGGGCGGTGGACCACAGGCCGGGCCACGGGCCACCGCGGTGACGTGGCTTGTGTGTCAGGCATCTGCTGCCCCTCGAGGGGCTCCTCCTACCCTCGAAAAGCGAGTGGAGCGTCGTCCGACCCACGGATGCCGTTTCCCTCCACGCGGCTCACCGTTCTGCTTCCGTTTCAGCACCTTGGTTGTGAAACAGAAGCTGCCGGGGGTCTACGTACAGCCGTCCTACCGCTCCGCGTTAAGTAAGGAGGACTCTCTCTTAATATTTAGCGGCTCTGGTGCCTCTGACACAAACTTAGGCCTCAACTGTTTCTTATTTTTTACTACAGTGTGGTTTGGAGTAATATTCATACGGCATGGACTGTATCAGGACGGTGTATTTAAGTTTACAGTCTACATCCCTGATAACTACCCAGACGGTGACTGCCCCGTAAGTAAGGAATCCAGTCTGCCTTCGTTTGTTGGGGCCAAGGCGGGGGCTTTAAGGGCTGGCAGGATTTCTTGGCTCTTTTTCCTGAGCTCATGATTTTAGGATTTCAGTTTCCTAAAAGGTGATGTCTGCCTGGTCATCTTTCAAGGGAATTTTTGTGCCTCGTTGTTCTCTTTTGCCATGCCGGCCCCTGCCCTGAGCTTCCCTTGTTTCTCTGCGCAGGGCGCGCAAGGGAGGCTGGGAGCCAGGCCGCGGCACCGACCGTGTGCGTGGCGGCCAGCGTGCTGGAGCACAGCGACCTTGCCCCACCCTTAGTTGCAAAGTAGAGTCTTACAGGAAAATGGTGGAGGTTGTTAAGCATCCCTGTTGAGGCAGCCGACTTAAAACAACACGACTGCCTTGCCTGCGGCTCCCTGTACAGCTGTCTCTATGGGTCTAATAGGCTCCTTGCTTCCATTAAAGGACGCGTCTCTCTTTACATACAGCGCTTGGTGTTCGACATTCCCGTCTTTCACCCGCTGGTCGAGCCCACCTCAGGTGAACTGGATGTGAAGAGAGCGTTTGCAAAATGGAGGTTAGTAAGTAAGTGTTTACTTTGGCGATCCAGGTCAGCAAGGGGATGCCTCGTAACCATACGTGTCTCTCTCCAGGCGGAACCATAATCATATTTGGCAAGTTTTAATGTATGCACGGAGAGTTTTCTACAAGATCGATACAGCAAGCCCCCTGAACCCAGAGGCTGCAGTACTGTATGTTACTTTGCTATTTGTTAGTTATTTCAGATACATTTAAAGATGCAGCGAAGTAGATTATGTTGGTGACTTTTCGATTTAAACTTTTGACACAGGTATGAAAAGGACGTTCAGCTTTTCAAAAGTAAAGTGGTTGACAGTGTTAAGATGTGCACTGCCCGTCTGTTCGACCAGCCTAAAATAGAAGACCCCTACGCAATCAGGTAAGTGGTACGTGATCTAGATCAATTGCGCTTTGCCGTCCTGTACTCCTGTTTTCCAGGTGGTTTCCAGAATGGGTTTAAAGGGAAAGTGTAATCTGTTAGCCTACAACCTGTACAATTTGTTGGCAACTCGATTTCTGATACCTCTTGGGATTTCCCTTAAACAGAAAGCTTTACATCGACTGGAAAATTGTGCCAATAGTTAGCTCTTTAGTGACTTTGATTTCCTAAGAATCTCTGTAATGAGCTCATTCAAATCCAGACTTTTCTTTTTGGGTGGCAGTTTTAGCTGGAGCGCAACTGCCATATCCCCACTGACATTCAGATTTGGGGAAAGGGAGGGACTGAATCGTATAAATCGTGTGTTCCTTTCGCACTACGATACCTGGTCGTGAAGTGTCTGACATTGAGAACTGAGGAGTTGCTGATTTCGCTCTTTGACAACAGATATGCTGGGAAGACCGCGGAGCACCGTGGTTAAGGGCTTGTGCTCTGCAGACACACTGGGTTTTGTGCCTCCTGGCTTGGGTGACCCAGTTCTTCCCCTGTAGACAATACTACTTCAGGGGTGGCCGAGAGGCTGAGATGAGCAAACCCACGTAAGGTGCTCTGTAAGGGACAGTTATCCTGTGAGAGAATCGTGAGGATGGACCTCTGAAACATACATGTTTGACAAATGGATCATTGTTCCTTGTCAAGTTTTGTTAAGGGGACTGCCTTCAGTATAAAAAAATGGGTATTCTGCATATTTAGTAAACCAAAGCGGCTTAGTGTTCTTCTCTTCCTTAAGCTTTTCTCCGTGGAATCCTTCTGTACACGATGAGGCCAGAGAGAAGATGCTGACTCAGAAGGTAAGTACATAACCAGTTTGGAATAGTGAACTGTTTCCTTTCTGAAAGGTCTTCACTGGAGACTGCTCATTATATAGACAAGTTAACTTTTTGGGAACTGGAGATTCAGGCATGGGACAAACTCCTCAGTTGTATTTTTGATGTCTGTTCTTGATTATGCCTAGAAGAAGCCTGAAGAACAGCACAACAAAAGTGTTCACGTTGCGGGCCTGTCATGGGTAAAGCCTGGTTCGGTGCAACCTTTCAGTAAAGAAGAGAAGACGGTAGCCACTTAAGCGCTGGTGAATCTGGTGCCCCGTGCGCTTTCCTGCCGGACGCGGGCCTGCTGAGGGCTGAGCGGTGGCAGAGGGCCGCCGGAAGAGTAAAACTGTGCGAGCAGGGACTGCTGTCCGTGTGTCCGTGGATGCTTAGGTTCTAACAGCACGTTTTGGAAACCTCTCTCTAAGTAATGCGTTACTTCTGTCAGAAGTGTCTTTAGGGTAGGTCAGTACTCCAAATTCTTGGGGACCTCGAGGCTGAAGTATTTTCTGAATATAATGCTACAGGTAAGTCACATTCATTTACGCGAATAGAGTAGACAGTTGGGCGCACCGTCCGGTGACGTCACCCCCGTGCTTTCAGTTGTCCGTAAGTTAGGACGCGGGAGGGGAGGGGGAGAGCGAGCAGGTTCCGGAGCTCATTCGCACTTGTAAGGAAGTGGGAGACCGGAGCCTCCGTGTTCAGCCTGCTGTCCACCGATGTCCCAGCCCCCGGCTGCAGCGAGGCATGTGTTAGGTGAGGGGGAAGAAAGCAGAATGCTGGCTCGTGGTGATCCGCTTGGTTTTTTTTAAACAAATTACTTACTGTATTTTTATGGCAGGAGGGAGAAAAAGTGTTAAAACGGTTTCTAATGAAGTCAGGTATTTAAGTGGTGAATGACTAATGTGTTTTGTAGAAACAAAATAAACCAATAAATGATGGTTCTTTGTCATTTATGCAGGACACTAGCTACCCCTTTCTCCATGTAACTAAACAAAGATTAATTTATAAATGCTTTATTGAAAAATACACTTATTTTCATATAAAATTACAGTAGCAGTAAGTATCTTGAGAGGTTTTATAAATATTTTTGCAGACCACTATTCTAACTGAACAGTGTAAGTTCCATATTTCTTTCAGAGCAATATGAAGTTACCCAGTAACTTGGTTCATACTGATTCAATTTACAATTGAATTTTCTCCCTAATAAGATTATTCATTCGACTTTAAAACTGCTGGAACGATAGTGATTAATAAAGGTTTATATAGATAATTCAACAATTGTTAAATAACCTTTCTAATTTTTATAAATGGTACTATGTACTAATAAAAACCTAAATTCGCCAACCTATTTTTTAAACTGCCAGAAACACACCCAAAGAGATTTTAGATTTATCACCTTAATAGACACGTGTCTTTCAGGGTAACTACCTCCTACAGAAGAGGTCAGAAGTTTCCATATTCCCTTAATTCACCTTGATTTAAAATCTTTACTCAGCCAACGATCCCTATGAACAACAAAACACCGGAGAATTAAAAACACATGCCCAAAGGTGGCTACTGGGGCTTTAACAGTTTAAAAAAAGTACAAAAGCATCAAAGATGATAATATTGCATGTTTAGCCTGGAAGTTTTGTACTTAATAAAGTTCACATTGTAGAAAGTGCCATCGCAAATATACAGCAAAATCTGGGTTACAAAACCATGCTTTTTACAGCCCTAAAGTGCCACTTCTTATACAAGTTCACTCACACATTGCACACCAAACAGCCCAGCGCTTCCCGCACTACCACACCTAACGGGGAGAGGGAACCATGACACCGAGGGACCAGGATGCTGGGGCTCGAGCCTGGGCCCCCCGAGCGGGGCTCCTGCCCTTACTCTCGCGCAGGAACGCAAACCCTCCCACAGCTACCAGACGTTCGGGGACAAACACCTAAGTAAGTTTCTGTCCTGCGTGTCACGCCGCCGGTGGGAATGAACGAAACACAGTCCCTCTGCTGCAGCACAGCCACAGACCTCTGACACACAGGCGTGAGCACGCTCTGTCCTCCGCAGCTCTTGCGAAAGCTTTGCCGAAGAGTTAAGAAATCCACGTCCGGATTCTAAGCAGCCTTGATGGCAAGCACTGAGCGGTAGGAAAAAGGCAGCTGGGATGAGTAGAAATACCCAGAGGGCCCTGGAAGGTTAGGGAAAGAGCCCCGCACTCGAGCATGCATTAAACGGTGCTGCCGGGCAGGGTTTGCGAAAAGGCCGCTTCCACACAGCTGACTAACCTCAGTGAGAACTTCGGTCGTTAGCTACATCTTGGAGACGGCGTAATAAGGCAGAATGATTTTCTGGACAAATTCTTTTTGCAGGTGATTCACTTCCATCTTCCAAGAGAATCCCTCTCTTTTTGGTTGGAGTCTCTCCTGTCCGTATCATACTGTTAATTTCTCTCAGTCTCTATGGGCGGCGGGGGGGGGGGGGGAGAAAGGAAACTGTAAAACGCTAATAAACATCATGCAGTGTTCAGTCCAAGAACCTCGAATGAAGAATTTACCTTCAAGAGGATGAACCTCTCTATAAAGAAAAGAACCAAGTCCTAAATCCTTCCGATTTCACTCCTCAGCTGGCTGACACTCCTACCTGGGCTGGAGGGCAGAGCGGTTCTATTTTGGGCAAGCCCCAGGGGTGATTCTGATGTACACTTTGCCAAAAGTGAGAGGCTGCAACTTGGTGATTCTGTGTGTGTGTGTGTGTTTATAGTAGTTGTGGAGCGCCAACTTGCTGTGCCCTAGTCAACTCCCTGTAACTCCATTGTCCTTTTAAAAAAAATAGTGTAATTTTACACTGTATTATGCCTTTTTTCAGTCCACGGCTACTCATTTAGCGGCTGTTCTCAACTGGAATTTCGCAGGACAAGTCTTTCCTCCCTAAGGCATCCATTGTAGGTAATTTGTTAGTGTGATCTAGAAGGTACTAGGTATTTTTCATCCTTGGGAGGACTGAGAAGAGCAGGCAAATTATTTTCCGTGTTCTGTGGTGAACATGAGGAGCCCTGACTGAGAGGATCTGCCGGGTGCTAGAGAGCCTGGACCGACACAGTGTGCCTTCAGCGTGGTTTCTCCACAGGCCCAAAGGTCAGTTAGCACGTTATTTTCTAGTAGTTTGGTGGTTACAGATCCTTTTCTCCCATGCTACTTCATTCCATGTTTCCTTATGGAAAATATACTCCGGTTATTCACCTGTGTTTATTACAGGAAATCTCAAACAGGAAGGTAGGGAGGAGAGTGTAATGAAATTACACTCCCAAGACCATTACCCTACTTCACCAGTTTTGGCCAGTCTGACTTGACCTGTACCCTCATTCAGACTGTTTTAAAGCTAATCCTAGGCCTATTGTATTCGTAATACTTTATTCTGAGCACATTTTTCTGAATTTTAAAATCACCAGTGTTCTTTATTAGCATATGCACCTTCTCACCTTCTCAAATCTTAACCATCTTAATAAGAAAGCTCTCTTTTGACTTCTGCCCCCTTACGTTCCTAATCTCTTGGTCTGCAGTTTACTTGAATATTCCTTAAATTGTTAACTGTATAAATGTTATTTGTATATAATGAATATATCGTTATGGGATATATATTACAGTGTACAACTGTATAACATAATATACATAAGACATACCATACACTAATACATATTGTACATTAGTGTTAATTACATATAATTTATATACAAGACCCAGTATCTTACACATCACAATTTATACAATATGTACATATTTAAAACGTGAATAAATTCTTATTCTAAAAAAATTCATTCAGCATATGCCTAGATTTCTTGTCTTCACCACCAGGATAACTACTGTTCTCTTTCATTCACTGAACAAACCGGGCTACTGGGTAGCCTTCAGCTCTTGGGAATGCTCTCAATACAAATGTAATATTGTGTATTAAGTGGGGTTTTTTTTGCAAAAAACTGAAATCGTGTATTTTACATGCTGTTTGGAATATTCAGTCAACATTTCACCTTTGATCTTCCCATATTAGTATATATGCATCACATCTCTTTAACTGCTATACAGTATGGTATGTCTGTATCCGAGTTTAATTTCCTACTGATGTATTATTTCCTCCCAACTGTTTAACATAAGCAATGTAATAATATTCAACAGGCTGTACCAATCCACTGAAACCGCCTTGACAGGTATCACTAATGACTCCCAATCACGCTAATTATCTTGTGTGGTATTTTAGAATTCCTTTCTCATGGCTGTGTAAATGTTAGGATAGTACAGGTTGGTTCTAGACTCAAGGTACTTTTTTTTAAAGTTTATTTTTTGTGGGGGGAGAGGGGGAAAGGGAGAGAAGGGGGTAAAGAGAGAGCATGACACCTAAGCAGGCTCCACACCATTAGCATGGAGCCCAATATGGGGCTCAAACTCACATCGTGAGATGGTGACCCACTGAAGTCAGACGGTTAACCAACTGACTCAAGGTACTTCTGATCTCAGCTCTTGTCTATTGAATCATCATGACAAATGTGTCTTCAATCAGTAGTCTAATTTTGCTGTTATTTTTTGGAGAAACTCGTAATTCTGTGCTAAATTTTTTTTTAACTTTTGCAGGTGGTGGTAGGACTGAAAGACACCGATCTAGGTGCTTAACGTAACTTTTTTTTTTGCACAAAATGCCATTTTTTAAAGCTTTACATACAAAAATTCACCCTTCTAAAGTGTATACTTCTGCATGTTTTCAGAAACACACACAATCCTCTAACTACAATAAAGAAGTTTCTTTGTTCCAAAAACTTCCCACACTGCTAGTTAAGCTCCTCCCACACAAACGATGATGTTCCCTGTACCTATAGTTTTGCCTTTTCCAGAACGTCACAGAAGTGAAACCCTATAATAAGTGGCCTACTGAATCTAGTATTTTTCACTTATGCACCAGTGCATCTGAGGTTCATTTATATTGCTGAGTTTATCAGTACTTTATTCCCCTTTATGGCAAAGTCGTGGCCCGTTATCGGGTGTGCCACAGGCCTGTCTGTCCAGCTGACGGACACGTGGGTTGTCTCCCACTTTTTGGCAAGTAGGAATAGTCCTAAACTTTCATGTACATGTTTCTGTATGAACCTTAGGTAAAATAAACACCCAGAAGTGAAATTACTGGTTCTGTGGTGAGGCGTTTGCCAAGTACACTGGCTCTGCTATATCCTTTCGCACTCCCACCGGCAGTATGGAAGTTTCCATTGTTCCACGTCTCTGCCAGAATCTGTGACTGTCACTTTTTATATTTTAGCCATTCTAATAGGCATGTAATGGGTGAAACGTGTTCAGATCTTTTGCCCAGTTTTAAATTTGATTAGTTTGTTTTCCTTTTGAATTTTGAGAATCCTTTATGTTTTGTAGATACAGGTAAGAGGTTTGTAAAGTTTTCTCCTGGTTTGTGGCTTTTTGCTGTGTTTCAAAAAGCAGAAATTTTTAATTCTGATGAAATCCAATTTATCAGTCGTTTGTGGATTGTGCTTTTGATGCTGTTATCTAAGAAATCGTTGTGTAAACCATGTTCACAAAGATTTTGTTCTCCTATGGTTTCTTCTAGAACTTTCATAAGTTTTACATTTAGGTCTGTGGTCCATTTTGAGTCATTTTTGGATCTGGCTGCACAGTACGGATGCAGGTTTACTATTATTATTGTGTGTGGTTATCCAGTCATTTAGCACCATCTGCTGAAAAGGCTGTCCTTTCTCCACTAAGTTACTTTTGCACCTTGGTGACAATCTGTAGAGCATTTATGTACGGTCTGTTTTTGGGTTTTATTCTCTTCTGTCGCTCTGTATGTCTCTCCTTTTACCAACACCACGCTGTCTTGGGTAACCACAGCTTTAGAGTAAGTCTTGAAATCAGAGAATGTAAGTCTTCTGAATTTTTCAGAATGGTTTTAATAATTCTAGTTCCTTTGCATTTTCATATATATTTGGGAACCAGTTTGCTAACTTACACAAATAATTCTGGGATGTTGACAGGAATTGGGTTGAATTGATAGATCAAGTCGAAGAAAACAGACGTCTCGAAAATGTCATCCAATTCATGAACATGATATTTCTCCATGTTCTCAGCCTTTCTTTCACCAGCGTTCTGTAGTTCTCGGGATATGAGTCTTGTACATCTTTTGTCAAGACTTACCCCAAAGAAGTTTTTAATGTTATGGTGCTTTAGAAAATTTCTACTTCTCACTTGTTGCTAGGATACAGAAGTAAATTAGATTTTTGTATATTAGTCCTAGAAGCCTTGCTAATCTTACTGGTTCCACTAACATTTTTTAGATTTTGTGATTTTTCTAAGGAGACAGCTTTATTTCCTTCTTTTCAGTCTACTCCCTTGCATACGGTTATAATGTTGAATAGGAGTGGTGAGCAGGTATCTTTGCCTTGTCCCTGATCTTCATAGTGGACAACTGGGTTGCCTGGGTGGCTCAGTTGTTAATAAGCAACTTACTCTTGGTTTCAGCTCGGGCCATCATCTCATGGTTTGTTGGACTGAGCCCCACATCAGGCTCTGTGCTGACACTGCAGAGCCTGCTTGGGATTCTCTCTCTCTCTCTCTCTCTCTCTCTCTCTCCCCCTCCCTCCCCCTGTCCCTTCCACATTCTCTCTTTCAAAATAAATACACTTAAAAAATTAGTAACTTAGAAGGCATTCAGTCACTATTTTTTTTAAGCATGATGGTAGCTGTAGATTTTGTTAGAATGTATTCCTAGCACAGCGCACTGTGCACAGCGTCCAGTGCTGCTCTTGGACACAGACGCTACCTGTCCCAGAAACATTCAATAATCAGGTCAGAAATCAAAGTTTTCTGAACGAAAATTTAGAATTTTAGAATGGAGTAAAAATCCCCAAACTCCAGATTTACAGCAGAGTGAACTGTAAATAAATAAGGGATTTAGATTTATTTTCATCCCTTTCTTTTCCTATTTCCAGTTTTCATATTCCAGTTCCTTTTCCTATTAGCCCCTCCTTCCAACCCCTGATTTCTGCTCTGCTGGGACTTACTGGTCACTTCTCCCTGGTCGTTCCCATCACTCATGAGAGTACTGAGTGTTTCCCATCAACCCCGGTTCTAGCATCTTAGGAATCTGGGGACTAGTAATGGCCAGGATTTATGTTAGGCTCACCTTTGAAGGACTGTTGCTGAAGTAGTAGAAAATCTTTTCTCTAGGAGAAAGCATTGTTTCATTTTTATGTGGAGAAATGTAGATGGGATGATTTTGAGACAGCTGTATCCGGCGAGGGGAGCCTGTCCTTACAAATGGGTAGGGGGAGAGAGGAGGAGCATCCATCTGTTTGGGAGAAAAAAAGTCAGCATTCCTAAGAAAGGTAACGAAACTTCTAAACAGGTATTTTTTGTGAAAATGGTTATTTAAAACAATTTTTAATGTTTATTTTTGAGAGAAACAGCGAGTGAGGGAGGGTTAGAGAGAGGGGGACACGGAATCTGAAGCAGGCTCTAGGCTCTGAGCTGTCAGCACGGAGCCTGATGCAGGGCCTGAACCCATGAACCGTGAGATCATGACCTGAGCCAAAGTCGGACCCTCAACGGATTGAGCCAGCCAGGCACCCCGGAAAACAGTTATTTTTATTGAAAGAGCAGAGAGGTATAATAAACCAGTAGCTTTATGAATGGTAAACGGTAATGTATTAGCAGCAATAATTAGACCTAAAAAAAAAACACACAAATAACACATTAAGTGCTGGCTTTGTGCCAATCACTGTTTTAAGCGTTTTTAATATATTATGGCATTTAATCCTCACAGCAACTCTATAAACTAGGGATTATCCTATTGCCACTTTATATACGAGGAAACAAGAAACAGAGAGAAAGCTTAGTAGTTTGGGGCACCTGCGTGGCTCAGTCGGTCGAGCGTGGGACTACAGCTCAGGATCTATCAGTCCCTGAGTTCGAGCCTCGCATCAGGCTCTGTGGTGATAGCTCAAAGCCTGGAGCCTGCTTCTGAGTCTCCCTTTGTCTCTGCGCCTCCCCCGCTTGCAGTCTGTCTCTCTCTCTGTCTCAAAAATAAACATTAAAAAAACATTTTTTAAAGAAAAGAAAGCTAAGTAACTTGGAAGGTCACCGGAGCTGGTAAGTTTTGGACAACATGAATGCATGCAGTTTCTCTCCCGTATTACAGTACTTTGTAGGGAATCCAAATACCATCTTATTCTTGTCTAATGCTTCACAATAAAAGAAATTCTGTCAGTTAGTCATATGATTTCTGTTAGAGATTTACTCAGAATGAGAGATTTACTCATTTTATTTAACAAAAGAATGATTTATACGATCAGTTTACATACAGAGCAGATCAACCTATGTGATTCCTCCTCCCTCACAAGTGAAAAAAGTTTGAAATAATCCCTTTCACACTTACTACGTTTGCCTGTGAGTACTTCATGGCAAATGTTTTGATTTGTTTTATGTAGATGTTGTTGTAGAACTGAATGAGGTCGCCCCTCTCCTCCTCCTCCATATCGCTATTGGCGCCTGTGAGGCGCGTCGGTGTAGGAGGGGCGCTGCTGGGCTGTGGGACCGGCAAGGTGCTGCTTGACCTCATGACGGGACTGGAGTCTCTGCTGGCTGCAGCGGGAAGACACGGGGTAATAATAGAGAGACAGCTAACGCAGCTTGTGTTTAAGACAGTCAGTCAGATAGAGGCGAACAGCTCCCCTCTGCACTTGTTTAAGGGCAGCAAGTGGGCACTCTATTCTTCGTCCCAGGGAAAGAGCACGGGATACCAAGTATTAACTTGACCCACTGCCATGAATGTAGCAAAAGCTTCCTGGGTAGTTTTCGTTAATAAGCGACACCAAATTTTTAGGACCTGTGCCCTGCACTCGGTGATGCAAATCCACAATGAAAGGTGGTATTTCCAGAGCACGGTTCCAGTTAGCATGCCAGACTTTTCTGGAACTCAGGCCAACAAATTCCTGCCGGAAACCTTGTCTCCTGTCCCTGGAGAAAAACGTTACGCACAATATGCCTCCAGGCTACAGGATGAAGGACAAACAGCTTTGCCACTAAATCTAGAGCTCTGTTTCTTCCAACAAATGTTTTGCCAATATTTTCAGTTTCTCTAGTTGTAATTTCATTTTGTGAGCCTTAGTCTCTAGGCCTAAAAAGTGAAAACCTCCTAATTTTGTTTTTTTAAGGGTTCGTAAAGATCTTAAACACTTACTTCTGTCTTTGTTTAGTTCTGTTGGAGAATTCTGATGGCTTCTGCTGTCACTGCTACCAGAATTTCTTCTTTTCCTTTTCCCTTTTATCAAAACACTTCTATACACCTTTAGAGAGACCACAAAAAGGGGACAGATTCATTGAGCATATCCTAGACTATATGACCTTGACCTGGTGTTTAAATCTCACAACTCCATTTGGTAGAGTTGTCCTCCTCAGGGAGGTTAACAAATGCAGTCAAGGTCAAAGATCTATTAAATAACAGATCCAGGACTTATTTTGGGGCCTGTTTGACCTCAAATTCCAAATACGGGCCTATCAAAGTATGATATAAAGAGCAGCCCTAGCACCCAAACATAAGTTATTCTAAGTCAAATACAAAGATCCTGCATACCTATCCTTTGAGATAAAACTCAGTTTATGTTTAATACTGTTCATTTAAGTTTTCATTTAGTGCCTTGGTTGAAGGTACAGTACTAGTTTGGGAACCAAACCAGCCTGAAAGGCCACACAGAAACCAAACAGCTTCCTCAACTGACGTCTATCTTGTGATTATCTGAATTAAGAAGAAATCAAATATCTCACCTCATCTTTTGAGAAAAGAGGGCTTAAACTAATCAAGATGGGAAGTTGTCCATAATTAAAGAAGATTAAAGAAAAGACTTTCTTAAAGTAGAATCTTAGTTTTTAATCCCAGAGAAAAGGCCATAGAATCAACTGTGGTTAATTTTTTATACTTATCAAAGACTCGAAGTTCTTTTCACCCTCAGAGAAAATAGAGTTACCTGGCTCCGGGCTTGTGGCTGAGTCCTGTAACAACGCATAATATTCTGGAAGGACCTATCTTCTTTTGTGACCTGGCAAATAATAAGAGTACCTTGAGAGAGAAATTGACTTCAAGCAAAATATTTTGAAGAGCTCTGTGAATCTGCTCCCCAGTGAAAGTGGTGACAATAATATAAATAAACAACTACTTCAAGTCTCTGGAAATGGTCCTAAGGGCATATAAAACATAAAGAAGTACCTATTCAAGAAAACCTATTAAAATTCAATAACAAGACAGGGAGTGAGTGGTATCTGAACAAAGACATGGACTAAAAAAAGTACAGTTAACAAATGAAAAATTCACCAGAGGGACAAAACAGATTTAAACTGGCAAGGAAAAAAAGAATTAACAAACGTGATGGGCTGTGCAATCTGAAGAACAGAGAAAAGGGAAGGAAGAAAAAGCAACAGTTTCAGGGAGGCGTGAACATCATTCAACAAACATCCACAGGAGAGAAGCAGAAAAACTGTTAAAAGAAATTAAGGTTCAATGCTTCCCAAATTTATTTAAAAAACAGTAAGCCATACATCCAGGAAGTTCTAAGAATTCCAAGTGTTAGGATGATTGCAAAGAGATCTGTACCCAGACATATAGTGAGGATGCTGAAGGCCAAAGGAAGGGAGAAAATCTTGAAGGCATCAAGACAAAAAACAACTTCCTGCTTACTAATAAGAAACCCCAAGAAAACAACAGGCAACTTCTCATCAGAAACTACGGAAGCTCAGAGACAGTAGAACAATGCATTCAAAGTGCTTAAAGTAAAAAGCTAAGAATTCAGTGTCCAGCAAAGTTATCTTTCAAAAATGAATGACAAATAAATACAATCTCAGATAAAACAAAAAACAGTGTTAGGTCTGCTAACAGACCTATCTTACAAGAAATACTGAAAGTTCTTTAAACTAAAAGCAGGTGACCCTGTGGGGAGCCTGGGTGTCTCAGTTGGTACAGCACACAGCTCCTGATCTCAAGGTTGTGAGTCTGAGCTCCACATTGGGTGAAAACACAAAAATAAAATCTTAAAAAAAAAAAAAAGCAAATGACCTCAGTAACTCAAATACACATAAAAAAACAAAGAGCCCTGGTAAAGATAATTATGTAACTGTAAAGACAGGATAAATAAATGCTTATTCCTCCTTCACTGATTTAAAAAGCCACTGTATAAAACAATACATATATAATGAATTATCGGACCTAAAGCGTACAAAAATGTGAAACATCTGAGAAAACCAGCACAAGAGGAGGAGGAAAGCCGTACTGGCCTAAAGAAATGACTCCGGATGACAACTTGAAACCACAGGAACGAATAAAGAGAATCAGAAATGATAAGATTAAGATAACAAAAGCTATAAATTTACTCCTTCTCTCAGTTCCTTAAAAGTTGTAAAATTCTAAAATAACAATGTAATTGTTGGATTTATTACATTTATAGATGTAATATGTATCACAGTATACCACAAAAGATTAAAAGGAAACAGCTATATATAACACCTTTGTATCTCACTGGAGTTCAGTTAGTATAAATCTGAAGATGATTTTGATATAGTTGACGTACATATGCAGGAGTGGGGAAATTGGGGAGATGTTGGTCAGAGAGTACAAGCTTCCAGTAACAAGATGAACGAGTTCTGGAGATCTAAAACGAAGCATGGTGACTATAATTAACAATACTGTATTATATACTTGAAAGTTGGTAACAGCATTGACCTCAAGTGTTCTGACTACGCAGAAAGCTTTGTGAGGTGATGGATGTTAACTAACCTATGGTAACTGAAATGCAATATATATACATGTATCAGTTCATTACACTGTACACTCTATGGCGTACACTTATCTCAATAAAACCGGGGGGGAAAGTAGGGAGGGAGGGAAAGAGATGTATATGGTAAACCCTAAAGGAACCATTAAGAAAATAATTTTTAAAAATGGAAAAAGACACTACTGAAAACAATGCTGTATCACAAAGTATTCATCTAGTGCAAATGAAAATAGTAAAGGACTAGAGGACCAAAAAGACAGACACATATAAAAAGTAAAATGATAGTAACACTAAATGTGACTGGATTAAACAACACAACCAAAAAGCAAACACTGTCAGACTGGATTAAAAAAGATATCCAGGGGCACTTGGGTGGCTTAGTTAAGTGTCCAATTTTGGCTTCGGTCATCATCTCATGGTTTGTGAATTTGAGCCCCACATGCTTGGGATTCTCCCTCCCTCCCTCTGCCCATTCCCCAACTGCACTCTCCCTCTCTCTCTCTCAAAATAAATTAACTTTAAAAATTAATAAAATAAAAAATATCCAACTATACTCTATAGAAGAAATATACCTTAGGGGCACCTCACTGGCTTGGTTGGTTAAGCGTCCGACTCTTGATTTCAGCTCAGGTCATAATCTCATGGTTTGTGGAATCAAGCCCTGCATCAGGCTCTGTGCTAGCACTGTCTGGCATTCTCTCTCTCCCTCACTCTCTGCTCCTCCCCTGCACACACACACTGTCTCTCTCTCTCAAAAATAAATTAAAATATACAAATATATTTGAAAGAAGGATGGAAAGAGCTATACTATATAAACAGCAATTTCAAGAAAGTTGGGTGACTGTGCAAATATTACACTACAGACTTTAGAACAAAAAGTAAAAGTTACTAGAGATATAGAGGAACATTTCATAAATGATAAAAGGGTCAATCCAGTAGGAAGCTGTAACAATTATAAACAATGCACCTAATGACAGCATCAAAATATATGAAATAAAAACAGAAATAAAGCGAGAAACAGATAATTCAATAGTATCTGGAGGGTTCAATACCCCACTTACAATAGTGGATAGAACAACTCATGGCAGATCAACAGGGGCAGCCTTTATCTCCCTCTGTCTCTCTGCCCCGGCCCCCCACTCCTGCTGTTTCTGTCTCCCTCAAAATAAACAAACTTTAAAAAAAAAAAGTTGCAGGGGCACCTGGGTGGCTCAGTCAGTTAAGCGTCTGACTTCGGCTCAGGTCACGATCTCACAGTTCGTGGGTTCGAACCCCACGTCGGGCTCTGTGCTGACAGCTCAGAGCCTGGAGCCTGTTTCAGATTCTGTGTCTCCCTCTCTCTCTGACCCTCCCCTGCTCATGCGGTCTCTCTCTCTCAGAAATAAATAAAACATTTAAAAAATATATTAAAAAATAAAAAATTAAAAAAAGGTTGCGGTGCCTGGTGGCTCAGTCAGTGAGGTGTCCGACTTTGGCTCAGGTCATGATCTCATGGTTTGTGAGTTCGAGCCCTATCTCAGGCTTTGTACTGACAGCATGGAGCCTGGAGCCTGCTTCAGATTCTTATCTCCCTCTCCTTCTCTGCCCCTCCCGCACTCACCCTCTGTCTCTCTCTCTCTCAAGAGCAAATATTTTTAAAAAATTTAAAAAATGAATAGGACAGAATTCCTAAACAAAATACAAGCAAACTGAATCTATAACTGAACCAACATATAAAAAGAATTATACACCACGACCAAGTGGGATTTACCTCAAATGCAAGGTTGGTAATGTATGAAAAGAAATATAATACACATTTAAGTATTAGTAAATATTGAATATCTCCAAATTATATCTATATTTATATCTAATACTGATATCTAAATACCAGCAGAATTAAAAAAACACATAATCATCTCAATAGATGCAGAAAAAGCATCTGACAATTTCCAACACGCTTCAAAATAAGAACACTAAAAAAAAAATATGTCAGAACTTCCTCAACCTGATAAAAGTTTTTTCAGTCATGAACAAAACTACAGTTGCTATCATACTTTAATGGTGCTTTCCTTCTAAGATGAGAAACAAAAGAAGTTCTGCTCTCAACACTTTGATTCAACACCTGTACTGGAGGTTCCAGCCAGAACAATCAGGAAAGAAAAATAAAAGGCATGCAGTATGAACAAGAGTAAAATTCCTTTTATAAGCAGATTACATGACCTTGTACACAGAAAATCCTAAGGAACCTACTAAACTAGAACTCATAAATGAGTTCAGCAAGGTTGCAGGACACAAAAATCGACGATATTTCTCTGTACCTGCAATGAGCACATCCAACGGAAACAACTGTATTTATTATAACATCAAAAAGAAGATACAGGAATAAAGTCAACAAAAAAAGTGTAAAAGTTATACTATGAAAATGGCAAAACACTGTTGAAAGAAAGTAAATAATTTTTTTAAATAAAGGGGGAAATAACCTACATTTACAGATGGATGGTGAAAATTTGTTAAGATGGCGATACTCCCCAAATTGATTTATAGAGTCAACACAATCCTATCAGAATGCTAGCTGACTTCTTTGTGGCAAGAAGTCAGAATTGACAAGCTGATTCTAAAATTCATAAAGAACGCCAAAGGACTTAGACTAGCCAAACTGAATCTGAAAAAGAAGAACTAAGAGGAAGGACTTTCATCTCCTGATTTTAAAACTTAGGTCAAATTAATAGTAATCAAGAGAGAGAAAGATCTACAGTAGATGGTAATCGAGGATAGATATGCAAATCAGTGGAACAGAGTTGAGAGTCCAGAAATAAACCCATGTGTCTGTGGTCAACTGACACTTTTTGACAAGGGTGCTGAGACTATCTGTGGAGAAAGAATGTTCTTCTCTTCAACAGCAGTGCTGGGACAACTGGACAGGCCCGTGCAAAAGAATAATATTGGGCTCCTACCTCTTACCACATATAAAAATGACTAGAAATGGATCAAAGACCTAAATGTAAGAGAGAAAATGATACAACTCTTAGAAGAAAACAGAGATAAATATTCATGACTTTGGATTTGGCAATGTGCTCTTAGGACACAAAAGTATAAGCAACGAAGAAAAACTAGATAAACTAACTTCATCAAAATAAAAAACTGTTATGCTTCAAATAACACTATCAAATAAGTGAAATGAGAGTGTGAATGAGGGAGAATAAGTGAGAAAAAAAATTTGCAGATTTCTGATATGACATTTGCAACCAGAATATATAAAGAACTCCTACAGCTCAATCACAAACAAAATGCAAACGATCCAATTCAAAAATGGGCAAAGGATTTAAACTGATATTTCGCCAAAGAAGATACAAAATGACCCGGAAGTGAATGACTGACTGGGATGGCCGGAATTAAAAACTCAAATAAATAACCAATAAAGCACAATAAAAGACACTCAACATAATCAGTCATTAGGGAAATGCATATCAAAACCACTATAACGTATTGATCAATACTCACTGGGATGACTATAATAAAAAACAGAAAATAAATTGGTAAGGATGTAGAGAAACTAGACACTCTCCTGCACTGCTGGTAGGAATGTAAAACGGTACAGCTGTTGTGTAAAATATGGCAAGTTTCTCAAAAAAAATTAAATACAGAACTACCGTATGACTCAACAATTCTACTCTTGGGTAGATACACAAAAGAATGAAACCAAAAACTCAAACAGACATCCATACCCTCATGTCCACTGGAGCGACAGCTAAGAAGTAGAAGCTACCCAAGGGGCCATCAATGGATGACTGGATAAACAAAATGTGGTACATCCATATAAAGGAATATTGTGCAGCCTTAAAAAGGGAGAAAGTTACAGCTCATGCGACAACACAGATGAATCTTGAGGACATTATACTAATTGAAAAAAAGCAGTCACAAAAAGACAAATATTGTACAATAGTCAAATTCACAGACAGAAAGTAGAAGGGTGGGTGCCAGCAGCTAAGGGGACAGGGAATAGAGAGAACCTACCTAATAAAAAAGCAGTTTTATTCTGCAGGGGTAGAAATGTTTTGGAACGAGATAAAGGTTGGCTGTACAATACTGGGAAAGGACTAAATGCCACCGAATTGTTCATTTAACAATGGCTAATTTATGTTATGTGAATTTCACCTCAAGAAGGTATTTTGAAAAACAAAGTCTGATAATAAAAAGTGCTGACAAAAATGCAGAGAAATCAGGACCTTCACATACTGCTGGTGGAAAACATAAAATGGTGCAGTGACTTTGGAAAAATAGTCCAGCAGTTCCTCAAATGGTTAAACAGAGTACCTACCCAGCAATCCACTTTTAGGTATGTACCAAAGAGAAATGAAAACATGTCCATGCAAAATCTTGTACACAAATGTTCACAGCAGCATTGTTCAAACAGCCAAATCGTGAAAATACCCAGGTGGTCATCGGTGGATAAACAAAATATCATATATTCAAACAATGGAATATTAGGTCCTAAAATCTGCTGTAGTGATGGCTGCGCATTTCTGTAATCGTACTAAAAGCCACTGAGCTGGACATTTTAAATGAGTGAATACATGGTAGGTGAATTCTATCCCGTTACAACTATTAAAAGTGTTCTGAGATTAAGGAAGTAGGTTCTTTCTTTTTCCTTTTATATTCCAACTGGTACTCACCTTTGCCATCACATAAATAGCACACATTAACAACTGGTCCAGATGTCTGTCCATCATAAGTTCAGGACACTGAATTATGGAGAATTCAAAACAGGTCCAGATTTTTTTCCTCAGTTCATCTGAGATATCCAATTTCGCACAAAGATCCCGAAGGCGGACACCTGCCAAGTGGTAAACCTGGTAGATAAACAAAAGCGTTTCAAACTCTGCTTACTTGCTTACACTTCTATTTCCCAAGCTCACGCCCTGGGAAGGGTACACGACAAATTACCTTTCTAAAGAAAAGCGATAAAGAGCTGGTCTTCCTGGGCCTGATACCGTTGCCGGTCAGGGGTGGGCCTTGTTTCTGCTGGTGTCCCCCTGGGGAGATCTGCTGAATGGCCACCTGACCAGGGACTTGCAAGGTTGTTCCTGTCACCTGCGGAGAGCTCAAGCTTCCAGCCAGGGCCTGAGCGCTAAGGGGCTGGATGGAGCCAGCCACGGCTTGCGCCTGCCCTCCAACATTGACCTGGACTGGGAAGAACGTAATCCCTCCGTTTTCATTCGCAATGCCTACAGTACAGAAAATGATGACGATGAAAGGCTCTCCAAGCACGGGTTCCCGCCTTCTCCCCTCTCGACCTCCTTCCCCCCTCCACTCTTGTCTCATAGGGTCATTCCAGCCAAACCTCGGGTGACTTTCCATTTAAGGCCACCGAAAAGAACTCAATATCCCACCCTGCCTTCCTTACCTTGTACAGGAATGGTCACTGTTTGTCCATTGTTGGCTGTGACGGTGGCTGTTGCCATGGTGACCAAAGTCTGCCCAGGAACGGGAGTGACAGAAACAGCCTCCCCAGATACGTTCTGCACAGGGACAGCACTGACTAGGGGCTGTGGGGGAATGCGCCCCGGTGTCCCTCCATCAGACGGGCTATCGTTGTCGACAAACAGCCGCCTCCTGGTGGAGCTGGCTGTCGGGGAGCTGTATCTGTCATATAGTGTCGCGGGAGACGTCATGCCTGGGGTCAAACAACAGAAAAACCAAAACATTTCCACTCGAGGAAACTGAGATCTGACTTCTGTCCCAGCTGTATGTTCAGAACTAATCAGTGTTAGAAATACTTCATAAAAAACATTACAGGGGCCGTGTCATAGCCATGTTCAACTAATGAGAATTCAACCGAACACTATGAAGAGCAAAATTTAAACACAGGAATTTCTCTGTTTCACAGTGCTCCCTACTTCATTCCAGCTTCTGCTGCATCAAACCAGACTCCATGGCCCCAGGGCCTTGTGATTTAGGGGCAGTTTAAAGAATGATTCTATTTCCCTATGATACTTTTGACTATATTCAATTTCTACCTGCCACTCAAGCATGATGTGATCTCACTGTAAAGCCACTACTTGACAGGGGAACATGACGAACTTTATATCGCTGTGATGTCGTCTGGGAGCATTCCCCCCCCCCCCCCCCCGTTTTATAAATTTTCATCTTTGTCTTCTTCCACATATAGAAAATTACTAAAACTCAATAATGTTCTTCAGCAGGAAAGGATATATGTGATTTGGACTCAAGTTAAGTTTACTGTACTTTTTAAACCTTAATGAGATGTAATTCACATACATTTAAAAAAAATTTTTTTTTAATTTTTTTAATTTATTTCTGAGAGAGAGGGAGACCGTGTGAGCAGGGGAGGGTCAGAGAGAGAGGGAGACACAGACTCTGAAGCAGGCTCCAGGCTCTGAGCTAGCTGTCAGCACAGAGCCTGACACGAGGCCCGAACCCACGAATCATGAGATCATGACCTGAGCTGAAGTTGGACGCTTAACCGACTGAGCCACCCAGGTGCCCCGTAATTCACATACATTTTAATCACTTAATTATACAAATCAATGGTTTTTCGTATACTATGTTAATTCATTTTTAATAGAAATATATGTAACATATAATTTGCCATTTTAACCATACAATTCAGTGGCATTAAATACGTTCAGTGTTGGGTGACCATCACCACTCTCTGTTTCCAAAGCTGCTTCATCTCAAATAAAACAAACTCGAACTATTACGGCTCAGTCTTGTTATAATATTCACACCAGTGGCTTAATGTTTAAGCAGCAATCCCTTCTCTCTTCTGTATCTAGCTAGATAATCTGCACATCGGTGAGTTTTTAAATTTAAAAATATATTGTAGGGAGGTCATAAGGGGAGTCACAGGAGAAGTGCTGACAGACTAAAGTTTTTGTTTTTGTTTTTAATGTTTTATTTATTTCTAGGAGAGAGAGAGAGAGACAGCGTGAGCAGGGGAGGGTCAGAGAGAGAGGGAGTCACAGACTGAAACAGGCTCCAGGCTCTGAGCTGGCAGTCAGCACAGAGCCTGACGCGGGGCTCGAACCCACGAACCGCAAGATCATGACCTAAGCGAAAGTCGGACGCTTAACCGACTAAGCCACCCAGGCGCCCCGATAGCAGATGTTTTTTAAAGTTGTTTTTTTACACAGAAGAAAGGTGAATGCATTGACCAAATATAAAGTCTCAACAAATAATTCCTCTGGTTCCGTGACTCTAGTTGGACTGTAGTACAAAAGANAGCGAAAGTCGGACGCTTAACCGACTAAGCCACCCAGGCGCCCCATGACAGACTAAAGTTTTAACACTTGAATTTCCAGATGGCACAGAAGCCAATGAACTTAGCAGATTTGTATTTGGAACAAAGCAGTAGTCGCAAAGAAAGTATTATGATCATTATCTTGTAAAGTATTAAGAGACGTCATGAAAATGGAGAAGTGATAAGTATAAAGAAAGTCCTAACCCATAGATTAGAGAAGTAGAAAAATAACTAAGCCATTATGATTCCTCTTCCAAAAAATGAACATGAAGTGATTCCTGATTTTATTCTTTTTTTTTTTTTTTTTTTTTGTTAAAGTTTATTTATTTTGAGGGGTGCCTGGGTGGCTTAGTCGGTTAAACGTCCGACTTACGCTTAGGTCATGATCTCGCGGTTCATGGGTTCGAGCCCCGCGTCAGGCTCTGTGCTGACTGCCAGCTCAGAACCTGGAGCCTATTTCAGAGTCTGTATCTCCCTCTCTCTCTGACCCTCCCCTTCTCACACTGTCTCTCTCTCTCTCTCCTAGAAATAAATAAAAATATTTTAAAAAAAAGTTTATTTGAGAGAGCGAGCATGTGAGCAAGTGGACGAGGGGCAGAGAGAGAGAGAGAGAGAGAGAGAGAATCCCGTGCAGGCTCTTCACTGTCAATGCAGAGCCCCATGTGGGACTTGAACTCATGAACCATGAGATCATGACCTGGGCCACAGTCAAGACGCTTAACCAAATGAGCCACGTAGGTGCTCAATGATGTCTAATTTTAAAACCGATCTTTCTTCTATAGCAAGTACTTATCAATTATATTAAAAGGCTGACCCAGAAACAATAATATCCTCCTAATGGCATCCAACAATTTAGAACTCTCTAATAAGCTTAAACCTTGCACCTGGAAGATGTTACAAAGAACTTCCTGGTGGGGCAACCTGGCTGGCTTGGTCAGTAGAGCACGAGACTCTTGATCTTGGGGTTGTGAGTTCAAGCTCCACAATGAGCACAGAAATTACTTAAAAAGCAAAAAAGATGCCTAAACACAACCTGATGAATAGCAAAACTTCTCTTTTCTGTACTTCTTGGGCCAGCACTGCTGTTGTATTAACCAGTGTAGCACAGCTCAACTGACCAGAGCCAAAGCTGAACACACTCAGGCCATTTGGTACTTTTAACTCACTGGCTTGCCTCTACCTGATTGCACCACACAGCTCTATCTTTAAGAAGCCTTTCTGTTTCTTCTGATTTTAAAAATAATACGTATTCACCTTTAAAAATTTACAGAAAGCACCTGGAATTCTATCATCCAATAATAATCATTCTTAATAGTTTGGTTTCTCCATTTCAGCCCTTTTGTATGCTTATATATACACACACACTTAAAATACAGGAATCACATGAACATATTATATTCACTTTTTAAAGTCCCTTGTTATTTCATGCCTCTTCCTGTTCTTAAATATTCTTCAAAAGCATTACTTTTAAGGGGCGCCTGGGTGGCTTAGTCGGTTAAGCGTCCGACTTTCGCTTAGGTCATGATCTCGCGGTTCCTGGGTTCGAGCCCCGCGTCGGGCTCTGTGCTGACTGCCAGCTCAGAGCCTGGAACCTGTTTCAGTCTGTGACTCCCTCTCTCTCTGACCCTCCCCTGCTCATGCTGTCTCTCTCTCTCTCTCCTAGAAATAAATAAAACATTAAAAAAAAAAAAGCATTACTTTTAAGCAATCCATGTGGTACTATAATCACAGAATACTGTCTTCTATATAAACTCTACTGACTTCACTTATAGTTCTGCAGAATTTCAATTCCCAGATATGAGGTTCCCAAATGATTCCCCCCTAGTATTTTACACTTACTTCTTCCAAGCCCCCCAGTATCAGCACGAACTTCATTCACCCTTCTGGGAGTCAAAGGAGAGCCAGTAATACAAATATCATCTGCTCTTTCCAGGTTCTGAGGAGGCATAACCTATAAAGAATTAGATGCACAGAATATCATTATTCCAAAAAGCATTTTCATTAAAATACACTAACAGTCTGAGGCCAAAGAAAACTTGGCTCATCAGTTATTCAACCTAAATAAAATCAGTTGTCTTTTCCATTTTCATACTGATTGCAAAAAATTCTGGCGGCTTAAAAAATTCAAAACTAGTAACTACAATACTAAATATGAATCCATCTTCATTACCAAGCTAGAGAGTTAGAATATCAATCACTCTAACGTACAGAAAAGTAAGAGACCATACTGAATTCCTGCTCTGTCACTGAAACCTTGGAGCAATCACAAATTATTTCTGACTCACAGCTTTAGGGGTTTTTTCTTAGACACAGGGGTGACTGCACCATATTAAACCTAAATGCCACCCATCCACTTCCCATAAGAAACTAAGTTTAACTGCTCTCAGTGAAACAGGAATATAAGTAGACTAGAGACTCATGTACTTCTGTTCGAGAAAGATGTTAAGGTATTTTCACAAACCTCTTCACAAGTCGGAACTCTGTTTTCATTGTCTTTAATTCTGTCCCAGAGCGGAGACTCTGGTTTCCATGCCAAATGATCCAAGATCTGTTCTTCAATCTGATTAAGGTGCTTTACCACCTCTCTACAGAGACCATCTTCTGCTCGAATGAATACTTCTATCACCTGAAGTAACCAAAAATGCCCTTGGTTTAATAATTTTTTTCACCCAAAACTTGTTTGTTAAGTGTGAAGCAAAATGGGTAAATTTATTCAAATACTGTTTTATACATATTTATAGATACAACAATTCATCAAAATATAGAAATGTAAAAAATAGTACTACTTTGAAACAGCTAGTCTTCCTTTCACTATCTTTATAAATAATATATATAAAATGCATGGAATTATATACAATCTTTTGTATAATGATATATTTTAAACATTTTTTAAGAAAAAAGATGCTGATTTATTAAAGTTGAAAAATACTACTCCTAAAACTTCATATTTAAAAACTCTAGGGGCACCTGGCTGGCTTAGTTGGTAGAGCTTGATGTCAGGATTTCTAGCAATTACAATAAGCAAATGGAGTAATGAGATCTGGGGGCTTTATAAGTCACATCTTCATTAGTTTTAAATTCTTTGGCTTTATGTATGAAATTGTGGTAAATTTATTCATTTCAGAATGAATGAACTCTTGATCTCAGGGTTGTGATTTAGAGCCCCACGTTGGGTGTAGAGATTACTTAAAAATGGACTACTGTATTAGAAAGAATTAAGATAAATTCATATACCGAATAATATCAACAGAGAAACAACTACCAAATCAATGCCATCACTCTGCACCTCTATATAACATGTGAATGAGAATTTTTATTTTCTTCTGAAGGACACTTTGTTATATCCATAAAATAAAAAAGGTTGCTATATAAAACTAGCTAATGACATGTTTGCTACTTTTTTTGAAGGCTACTTAGCTAATAAAATGAAAATATTCTAAAAGCTTTTGTCAGATAAAAGGAAGAATCAAATGATGGTTTTGCCCAAAGATGTTTTCATATTATCTTAAAAGAATTTAAATAGTTCTTAGGACTCTTCTATTTCTTCTCCCCAAATAGAGTAGAAATTACTAAATATGTAATTAAAAAGGTGAGAAGAGAAAGGAGCCCCTGGATGGCTCAGTCAGTTGAACATCAAACTCTTTTTTTTTTTTTTTTTATATTTTTATTTATTTCTAGGAGAGAGAGAGACAGCGTGAGCAGGGGAGGGTCAGAGAGAGAGGGAAACACAGACTCTGAAACAGGCTCCAGGCTCTGAGCTGGCAGTCAGCACAGAGCCCGACGCGGGGCTCGAACCCACGAACCGCGAGATCATGACCTAAGCGAAAGTCGGACGCTTAACTGACTAAGCCACCCAGGCGCCCCATGAACATCGAACTCTTGACTTCAGCTCAGGTCATGGTCCCAGGGTTGTGGGATCACGCTCTTGGGTCGGGCTCCATGCTGAGCATGGAAACTGCTTAAGATTCTCTTTCTCTCTCTCTCTCGCTCTTGCTCTCCCTCTCCTTCTCCCCTGCTCAAGCTCCCTCTCAAAAAATAAAAAATTAAAAAGAAAAGAAAGAGAAGAGAGGTACTTAGGTAGTGAAATGAATTAGCTGGCAAACAACAGGAAGTTCATCTCATCTATAATTTCCTCCTAAGTATCAGATTTTTAAAAATACCTTATAGAAATGATAAAGTGGCACATCAAATATTTCAGTAATGAATGGAAAATTCCCAGGAGGCTTATAAGAAAAGGTGACGACCTCAAGGCAGCAAGCCAAAAGCGATCTATGGAATGCATCTTGTTCCAGAATGCCCTACGAAAGAAAGTGATTAACATTGAGAAACATAAGCCTACTCTAACAGGACATTTCTTACCCAGTCAAGTCAAATAAAAATACCACAGAACGTCTTATTTTCTGAGTTGGTGAGAAGTATGTGCTTACTTTCTTACAAAACATGTCTTAACTTTATAAATAAGACCGTGTTTTAGCAAAAGCAAGTATTAAAAGAATGTATATGGACTTCTAAAAATCTTAGATATTGTAAAATATCGCTAATAAAAATTACATCCCCAATAAAAATATACATATACCCTGTTGCTTGGAGGAAAAATAATATGGAAACATGTTACAAAACAGTATTTACAGTTAGAGGTCACTCATAAAAAGCCAGGGGGAAGGCAGGCAGGTGACGGGCTAAATCATCATGGACCAGAAGTCAACAGGTTTATCTCAGGAGACATAATCACATTTTCTTTTTTATTTTTGCTTATTAATTCCAACTCTATACATAAACATTCTTTGAATTAACATATTTTTTAATAAACATATTTTTGAATTAAAAAGTTACTTAGACACCAACCACATAGGCAACAGGAGGAAAAAAAAGATAAACTGGGCTTCAAAAAAAATTAAAATATTTTGGGGGCACCTGGGTGGGTCAACTGGTTGAGCTTCCAACTTCAGCTCAGATCATGATCTCACAGTTTCTGAGTTCAAGCCCCACCTCGAGCTCTGTGCTGACAGCTTGAAGCCTGGAGCCTGCTTCAGATTCTATGTCTCCCTCTCTCTCTCGACCCCTCCCCTGCTTGTGCACACTCGCTCTCTCTCTCTCAAAAATAAATGTTTTTAAAAATATTGAAACCTTTTGTGTATCAAAGGACACTGTCAACAAAGTAAGGAGAAAGCCCACAGAACGGGAGAAAATATTTGCAAAGTATGTATCTGATAAGGTATTAATATTCAGAATATATAAAGAACTCCTACAACTTGACAAAATAAAAGGCAATTATATACTATTGAATATTGTGAATAATATTCCAAGTATTATTCAGTCTGAAACAGGAATGAAGTTCTGACACATATTAAAGCATGGATGAACCTTGAAAACACGATGCCAAGTGAAATAAGTGAGACCCAAAAGAATAAATATTGTATGATTACACCTAGAATAGGTAAATTCATGGAGACAAAAAGTAGAGATTACTAGGAGCTAGAGAGAGAAGGGAATGGGGAGTCACTGTTTAATGGGTACAGACTTTCAGTTTGGGATAATGAAAACGTTTTAAAGATGGCTTGTGGTCAGGGTTGCATAACACTGTGAATGTACTTAATGCTGTTGAATTATACATTTAAAAATGCTTAAAATGGTAAATGTTATGTATATTTTACTACAATAAAAATGGTGTTTTAGTTTCTTAAGTGAGTATACAAGTATCCAATAATTATTATTAGCCCCTCAACTCCAGCTATGTTTTATATACCCTTCTGTTTCAAAATTTTAAAATCTGTCATTAATTAACAACTTTTAAATTCCTACAGCCATAATTTTACATATAAAAAAGAAATGTAAATAGTTACAAGAAATTAGAACAATTATCAGTCAATTTTAAAATTTTCTTTAAAATGTTATTTTAGGGGCGCCTGGGTGGCTCGGTCGGTAGAGCGTCCAACTTTGGCTCAGGTCATGATCTCACAGTTCATGGGTTTGAGCCCCGCATCGGTCTCTGTGCTGACAGCTAGCTTAGGGCCTGGAGCCTGCTTCAGTTTCTGTGTCTCTTTCTCTCTCTGACCCTCCCCTGCTCATGCTGTCTTTCTCTCTCTCTCAGAAATAAATAAAATATTTTAATAAATAAATAAATAAAATGTTATTTTAAAAAATAGGTTTTAGGGTGCCTAGGTGGCTCAGTGAAGTGTCCGACTCTTGATCTTGGCTCAGGTCATGATCACAAGGTTCGCAAGATGGAGCCCTGCCTCAGGCCCTGCACTAACAGTGCAGAGGCTGCCTGGGAGTCTCTCTCTTCCCCCTCTCAGACCCTCTCCCCCTTCTCTCTCACTATAAATAACCTTTATGAAAAAAACAGTTTTTAAAAAATTTCACTGATGTCAAAGTAAATACCACTTATTTCAAAATCAATTTATATTTGAGTAGTAAAATCTACAAAAAGTAATTACCTTGGTCAAAAAGCACTGGCTGAATATTTATGCTCAAGTCCTATCTAGTCAACACTCAACTTAGTCTTGCTATACAAGGCTTTCAGGAGGGTATACAGGTTAATGAGTTCATTTATTCCAAAAATTCAGGTTAAGTCTGAATGTTTCAATCCTTTTTTTTTTTTTTTTTTAATGTTTATTTATTTATGGAGGGGTAGGGGCAGAGAGAGAAAGAGAATCCCAAGCAGGCTCCACACTGTCAGCCCAGAGGCTAACACAGGGTTCAAACCCATGAACGGTGAGATCATGACCTGCGCCAAAATGAATAGTCAGACACTTAACTGACTGAGGCCCCCAGGCACCCCTGAATGTTTTAATCCTTGACTACAGAGTCGTACTGCCCATAAAAACTGTAAGTTATAGCACACGGCCTGCTGCACTGAGAAACACTAAGTGGGGGGCTGGAGGTAAGGAGACTCAGAACACAAGGTTCCTTAGGGGCCAATCTTGGTCCCTCAGAGCCATGGTTTGGTCTTTGTTTTATTTAGTTTGGGTTCTGTATGGGTGGGGCCAAAAGGGAACTATACTTTATCGTGCAAACCAATACACTGGTGGTTTACTCACAGATAGATCCATGTCTCCTAGTCTTTTCTGTTCCTGCTCAATAACTGATTCTAATACTTTATAGTAGAGCATCTCTGCAAAACGAAAATGTTTGCTGGCAATTTCTGCATAAATAATAAAAGAAACAAAAGTCACATGCAAAGAAATTATTGTAGAAAGTGAGAGTCTATCCCATCCTCTGCCCACAAAACAAAATATAAAAACCAAGCAATTATTTCATATACATGCACTTCCTACACCTGCTGTTCCCATCATTCCTAAGATTTCTTAATTTTCTTCATGGTAACCATACTAACGCTCAAAACTTTCTAAAATTATGGAATGAAATTTGCACTGTCATGGCATTCCATTAAGAGTCACTTTTTTTTTTTTTTAAGTTTGAATTGAACAGCTCTATGCTAAGAGGTATACAATTGGTTTACTATTTCCCTCATACTTGGTTCTAATTCAAAACATCAAACAACTTCTAGAACAGATCTGAGCATGCGACAGCTGTATCTGCTGAACTTATTCTTAGTATTTTGAAGAATCACTATACTTCTATATGTAATATCATCTAGTCACAAGTGAAAGTAAAGATTTTGCAAACAAAGTACCAGAAGTCTAACACAAAAAAAAGACATCACTCTAAAATTTCTCTCACAGAGAAGGGCCCAGAAACCACTTGGTTGACAAAAAAAAAAACCCTGGAATATCCATATTCTAGACCTCAATCTAAAGCCATAAATCTTTCCTTCATTTTTCTGATTTAGTTACCAAGAAAGGACACTGTATATAAACTTCAAAAATGAGAGCAATATAGACAATATTAAGCCTTACCTTTAGTTGAATTACTGAAATCCTCATCAGGCTGGGAATGCTGAGAATATATTTCATACATTTCTTTCAGTCTGTTGGCAATAGCCTGTGTTGGATCTCTGGAACATGTCCTTAAAAAAACAAAAAACAAAAAACAAAGTATCCATCTTAAAGGTCTTGCTGAGCCACAAAGTAATAAACTGTGTATAATTCTGTAATTTTACTAACCTATAAAAACAAAATACTTTGAACAGAAACTACATTTCCCAAATTATTCTAGGAGATGCCATACTTCCTTATCAAGGGTGTTGGTATTACCATTTTGCATGAAAAAAACGTATCTTGTGTGGAGTTGTACAGTTACACTTAGCATTCTTTTTTTTTAATTTAAAGTTTTATTTATTTCTGAGAGCGAGAGAGAGAGAGTGTGCAGGGGAGGGTCAGAGAGAGAGGGAGATACAGAATCTGAAACAGGCTCCAGGCTCTGAGCTGGCAGTCAGCACAGAGCCCGACGCGGGGGTCGATCCCACAAACTGTGAGATCATGACCTGAGCCGAAGTCAGACGCTCGACCGACTGAGCCACTCAGGTGCCCCTAAATTTAGCATTCTTGACCATCTAACCCTACACATCTGCAATCACTGGTAACAAACAAAACTGCCCAATTTTTCCTCAGAGGGCAATAGGACTCCCATTAGGAACTCCCGGAAGAAAGCAGAATGAAGGGGTATATAAACTATACTACAGACTCATACAAACCATTACTGACGCTCTTCATTTTTTCCTCCAAGGTGAAGTGTATTTTGGTGATTTTTTTAAACTCGAAAGGCAATATATGCTCAATGCAGAAGCAGTATACAAATTATCAACAGTTGTAACAACTATGTTTTTGTCTTTTTTTGGAATTAACATACCCTTTTAAAACTTGTTTTGAAATACGTTTAAGGAATAAAATTCCTAGAAGGGATTCCTAGTAACTCCTACTAGGAAAACCTCACCCGAATGAATACCCAGTGGTGAACCTCTATAATTATAGACACTTTGGTTGCACGTGGGGCAGAGGGGTAGAGGCCGTCTTCACGGCGCCCCTTCTTCACGGCGCCCCTTCTTCACGGGAAGGGCAGTAAACTGGTTTGTATTACTGCAACGTCCATGAGGTGATCTAAGCTGCTTTTCCTTCAGCAAGGGTTTTACCTGTCAGAAGGCCATTATGCTTGACCTCCAAATTTGACAATTTACCGATGAGATTCATCACCTTTGGAATGCTCTGATACCGGACACGTTTGCCATGTCCTAGAAGGCCACCGGAGCTTCTGGATCCTGCACAGCCGTAAGAACCTTTGGCTCACTAAGGGCTTCACTGAGCCCAGGCATTTCTGCCACTCCAGGCTTGCCCCCAGGAAAGCCACCCGGAAGAGAGCCAGTTTGAGCTCCTGTCATCTAGCTTCTTCCTCTCTCCGGGCACCCTCACACTCTTCCCCAAGGTTCTTAACCCTACTTTCTATTCTTTCTTCGATCTCTTGCTCTTCGTGTTTTCTTTCACTCTTCAATTTCTCACTCATACCTTCTCTGATGTTTGGCAATTTCCTGGGCCTTCAGTGAACTTCTCTCAGCGCAGCACTAGCATCTTCATCATAATCCAGTTCACAAGCATGGGCACAATTGTGCTGCTTCTTTCCCATGACCCCAAAGTCTGGGCTCTCCCACGCCACTTGTAATGCCGAGTCAGGATTTATTTCCACGACTCTGTCACAGTCTTGCATGACAGCGTTTGGTATCTATAATTTAATGAAGACACTGGCTTTCCTGGCATACAGAATGGCCAAGTGAGGATTCAGCTTGATGGCATCTGGGAACAAATCAATGGCTTTCTGCAATTCATCATCACTTAGGGCATCAAAAACAGCCACTATTTTATCATTTGTTGGATCCATCATTTCCTCACTCATCTCTATATTTTCACCTCCCATTTCTTGAGGGACATTGGTATCTGGTTCAATCACACCTTCACTGTCAATTTCTAGACCACTTTCCTTGCTTGATGGTTCATCTGTCTTATGTTTTCCTCCACCTTCTTACTATCTGTTTTTATTCACTGTTGCAGGTGGTATTTAACCCACCATGTTCTCCAACCACTCTCAGGAAGTGTATTTCCTTGGTGTGCAGAATGCTCGGGTCCTGCTTCCACATTTTCACGAAGGCCTCAAGTTCGTTCATTTGCGGCGGGGGGGGGGGGGGGGGGGGGGGGAGGGTCGTCCATGGACCAGAGGCCGTGGGAAGCAGTGGGTGCAGCAGAGGTGTGGCCCAGTCCAATTCCAGGCATGGGTGCTAGCTCAGCATGACTATATAGAAGCAACTATGCTTTTATTTTGATCACAGATATAAATATTCACTGTAAAAACGTAGCAAGTTTAGAAAATTCTAAAGAAAATAAAAATCAGTTATAATCCTACTATATAGAAGCAACTATGCTTTTATTTTGATCACAGATATAAATATTCACTGTAAAAATGTAGCAAGTTTAGAAAATTCTAAAGAAAATAAAAATCAGTTATAATCCTGCTAGAGGTTGCTACTGAATATCATACCCAAACAGAATTTTATTTATGAACACAGTCACAGGTACCTTTTTACAGAAAATAGGACACTCTGGTTTTACCTAGCATTTACTGGTAATATTTAACCCCACTAATGGTGTCTAAGATTGAAGAAGCTGCTACACCTAGAAAGAGATCTGGAAGCTCTAAAAATGAAGTCAGTCTTCTAAAATGTATTTATAAATTGGTTCTGTATTCTAGGCAAACAAGGTGCCCCTGAGGAAGAGGCATATAGACTCAGCCTGTTGGGTTTTAATCATAGTCAAGTTACGAATAAGACAGACTCTGTGAAAATGTAAAGGGAAATTAGTCAGCCTTGGTATTTAATAAGTCCAGCTGAGAGTAGGAAATTACTCAAGTGTATATACTGGGCCTTCTTATACTATACCATCAGAAATTAAATAGGCTTCTATAGGACCTTATCTCATCAAATCCTATACTTTCTAGGATAGGGACGTCTTGGAGGTAATATTTTCAAATAAACTCGCAAAAAATCTACGCACAGGTAATAAGATTCAGTTTATCGAGCTTTTTTCACTAGGACTCACTGACAGTCCCACCAGTCTTGGGCAGATCAAAGAACTAAAGGCAGTTTACCTCCTCTTCATGCTAAGGGTATTTTACAGAACTTACAGAAGTTATGGTGGCTTGACACTAGTTATGAATCTAACTGTTTTATCTTTTAAAATCTGACTCACCCCTCAGAAATTTGCACAGGTCCAATCCTCTTCGTGAAGTCCTTTGACAACTCCTATTTTTCTTGATCCCCCCCCCCCCAACAAATCTTTAGAACATCTGGTAACAGCTTGGTGCCTTGTGCAGTGTCTGGTGCTGTTAGTTTCTGTCTCCTGTACTACACAGAAGAAATCTGAGGGCTGCGGACTACTTGTGCTCCCCTCCAAATTCCTATGTTGAAACCTAATCCCCAGTGTGATGGTGTTTGGTGGTGGGGCACGTGGGAGCTGATTAGGTCATGACACAGAGCCCTCATGGATGGGATTAGTGCCCTTATAAAAGAGGCCCTAAAGAGTTCCCCTGCCTCCTCGCGCACTGTGAGGACAGCGAAAAGACAGCTGTCTATGAACCAGGACGCAGTTCTCACCAGACACTGAATCTTGGCACCTTGACCTTGGGACTTCCAGCGTCTAGAACTGTAAGAAATTAATTACTGTTGTTTATGAGGCACCAGTCTATGGTATCCTGTGATCACAGCTGGGGCACACGGAGATACTGAGGAAAAAGGATCACCAACAAAGAAGGAGGTCTATGTCCCCTACAGACTAACAACACATCTGAGCACGCAACTGGTATGAAATTAATAATGGGTGAATTAGGCCACTAAAAAGCAAAAAAAATTAAAATAGAAAATGGTCAACAATCAAATCTTAGAAGGCAAGAAGGACTCAAACTGACCTTAGAATCTGTTCCAACTTCTCACTTGGCGCATTCTTGAGGCCTGTTAGCATGGTGTGAAGACGACTCAAGCTGTGTGTTGCTGTAGAAACTGGGGTCACACAAGGGCTGTTATCCTTAACGTACCTCACACCAGTGAGTGGTGTGGAGATCCGAAGTGCTTTAGACTAAATGGGGGTGGCGGGGGGAAGGGGAGAGGGAAGAAGACTATTTTAAGTTAGAATGACTTTCAATTACTTCACGAATGAGAATTCAAAACAGACTTCACTGATAAATTTTAATGATTCAAGTATCTCCACTTTTGGAATTTGGACCTAACACCACTGGGAGCCACCGCTCTCCTTGTGAAGATGTGTGAAAGGACAATTTGTATTTTAGCCAGCTAGAAAGTCTCTCTCTTAAAAGTTAAACCTTTAAGACAAGGCGTACTTACCGTACTTCCCTATCATACCTACCTCAGGCCTCAGCCCGAAGGCACAAACAAGGAATATACAGGTAAGAGCATCACTGAGAAGCAGAATTTCACAGCCGCCACCCACTGCCCTGTAACTACTCAAAGACTGACCAAGAAAGCTGTGAACTAAACATGGCCCAAGTGAATTCTGTGATTTAACAAAAGCCCATCTAAATCATCAACTCTGCTTCAGAGAGCCGGAACAAAGCAAACATTCCTAGACGAGAAAACAGCCTGACAGAGAAGAGCCTTCAGTCTTCTTGCCCCTCCTTTACCTTTAGTTACTAGAATCTACCAGGTTCCCCCCTTCAAGTCAACAGCTCTTCAGGGAAGTAAATTTAAGTCAACATTCTTGAATATAAATGTGAAAAAGATAGGACTTAATATCTGAGAATTTAAGCACGAATACATATGCTAATAAAACATCTCCTCTATTTCTTCTAATAAACTCTGAAAGGTTAAGATAGCTTAGGAGTGTTTTTTATTTTATTTTATTATTATTTGTAAATGTTTACTTATTTATTTTGAGAGAGAGAGAGAGAAAGTGAGTGAGGGAGCGGGGGGGGGTGCAGAGAGAGAGGGAGACACAAAATCTTAAGCAAGCTCTGCACTGCCAGCTGCAGGGCCCGAACTCACGAACCATGAGATCATGACCAGAGCTGGAACCAAGAGTCAACGCTTAACCAGCTGAGCCATCCAGGTGGCCCAGGAGTGTTTTTTAATATTCAGGATAAACTATGTTTCTCCAGGTAGTTAAATATATTAATTCTAGAGACAGCTATAGAAATACCTGGCAAATAGGCTACTCAAGTTTAATGAGACACAGATAAGCAGAGGAATTTGCCATACAGATATAAATCTACCCATACAGATCTAAATCTACCCATACAGATGTAAATCTACACGTACAGACATAATCTACACATACAGATATAAATCTACACATACAGATGTAAATCAACATGTTTTCTGTGACTTAAACAGGATAGAGCCAAGATTCCCACTTGGTTTCAAAGAAATTAATTCTATAATTTTTAGAGGTCAGCGAGACAATCTGGGTGGATTAACTACATTCAGAAGGCTATTCCAGCTCTACCTGGCTTTTCCTATAGCCAGCTTCTTCCCCGTACATGAGCCAGGGCTTTGCTGGGAGGGAAAAACACCCTGCACGTGTACGGGAAAAGCAACAGCAGATCTTGCACTGCCTGCAGACAGCAGCGCCTCCGCAAAGGGAACGAGGTACGGCTGCCACAGACAGTGTTCTGCCCAAGGTCAGCATGCAGCTTCCTGGTAGCACTGTTAGTTCTTAGCTTAAAGCTTCCTGTGCATTCTGACCAAGAGGAGTCTTTTTTGACTCAGGTATAAATATTGATATTTTTTACATAGTAGGACATTCCTTCTCCAAGTAAACACTTCCAAACTTTAGAGTGCCCCAGAGCTCTGCCCTCTTCTATTCTCTATCAACTTATACAATCACTCTTCATGGTTTTAAAAGCCATCGGTATCCTGATGTCTCCAGAACAGACACACGCAGCCCCAACCTCTGCTATGAACGCCAGTCTTGTGTCTCTAAACTGCCACCTCAACCTGTCTACTAGGATGCCTAAAAAAAAAAATCTAAAACTAACATACCATCATAACCCCAACTCTGAGTTTTTCGCCTGAATACCTGTCAATAATAAATATTCACAGAATGCCTACTATGTACCAGGCACTGAACACAGCACTGGTCACAGCCCTCATGAAGCTTAGATTTTAACGTAGGAGACGCGTAACAAACGATTCTTTTTTCCTATCTTTGTATATATCCATCTACTTACTGTCAAACAAACAATCCTTTCTACCTACCCGCTTACCTAAGACAGTGACAAACACTAAGAGGAACACCAATCACCAAGTGAAAGGGGAAGGAAGCGCTAAAGGTTGGGGAGGATGCTAGTGGTTATCACTCTACGCAGTGGTCAGTCTCTCAGACACCTGAACGAAGCGAGGAAGTAAACCACATGAGTATCTTGAAGAAACATGTTCTGGGTAGAGGAAACGGCGAGAGCAAAGGCTTTCAGTTGGGGTATTATCTGAAGGAGAACAGAGGTCAATGTGACGTGAGCGCAAGGGGTGAGGGGGAGAGTGGTAGGAGATGAATTCAGAGGCGGCGGGGCTACATCCCTGAAGACCTCAGAGGCCTTTGTAAGGACTTCAGCTTTTACACCATTTATGCAACTAGAGTCATCGCCATTTTCTTTCTCTCTCATCCTGGATCTAAGCCATCCGGAAACCCTGCGGGCCCCGTCTCCAGTCCAGCCCCAACACCACCACTGCTCTGATCTGAACCACCACGAGCTATCACCAGAACCAGTGCAACAGCCTCTTAACTCCCTATTTCCACCCTGCCCCACCAAACACCCCCTGTGTTTTCCATAACATCTTCCTAATGGCTTTCCTCTCAATCAGAGCAAAAGCAAAAATTCTTACTAGAGCTTCCAAAGCCCTGCAAGGCCCAGCCTGTCCCTTGTGACTCCCCCCCCACCTCACTTTTCCATCATTCTCTCAGTCACTCTAAGCCTACCACACAGTGCTCTCATTTTTCCTCCAAAAAGCCAATCATGCTCCTCCCACAAGCCTTGGCACCTGCTATTCTCTGGGATTCAAACACATTTCTCAGCTGGTCACAAGATTTGCCTCCTCACTGCACATCTCTGTTGATGGTACCCCCCTCGGAGACACCTTTCCTCACCGCTCCATCCATAGCAGCCCAAGGCCCACCCACTCTCCAGTCTCCCCAGCACCCTAAACTACTACCCTATTTTACTTTTCTTCATACACCACCATCCAACATCCTATATATTTACTAGTTTGGTTATCTATTGTCCATCTCCCCACAATGGAATATAAAACAGGGTACTCATGGCTATTGCGTTCACTGCTATATCCCAGTATCCAGGACACAATCTGGCATACAGAATGCCTTTAGAATATTTGCTGAATGAGTAAGTAAGCCAGTACTAACCAGTCTGGTCTTACAGGTGAGTTACCCCTTGGAATTATCCACAAGCCTCTGGAGGCATCTGTCAGAGGCTGTGTATTTTCTGTGAACATCACACAATAGAAGGGAAACTCTTAGTCTCCATCATCCTAATTGTATGCATGAAATAACACCATGATCCTGAAACTCAGTTTAACGGAATTTTCCTAAAGACTACAGATGATCAGTTTCTCTAGTGTCAAGATGAAGGTACCATTCAGGTCAATTGACATTTTCTAAAATGCTTACTACGTTCGATAGGTAAAGGCTGTACATTACTGGCCCATTTTGTCAAAACTAACAGTTATATCAGCATGGTATATCCACTTAAATTTATATTAAATGCTCTTTCTCTCAGATCCAACCGAAAACTCTGAAGGTTGATGCTAACAAAAATTAAATCAGTAAACACAGAGACAACATTTTCAATTAAGGATGACAGGATTTTGCTTTTTCATACTGGAAGAAGTACAACACACACACACACACACACACACACACACACACACGTTCCAGAACCACACAGAGCCCTTCAGGCATGTCTGCTTTCCTGGCAGCAGACAGCTCACCCTGTCGAAATGCTGCTGCAGGATGGCCTTCATCTGCGCCCTGTCAGCAGCCTCTGCTCCTGGACCAGAGTTCAGACACCGTGACAGAGTCCCAATTTCCTCTTCAGCATCCTCTCCGAGAAATATCCTTTCATCTAAATTCCCAACGGATAAGACATACTCCTCGTAGGCCTTATTGATGGCTTTACTATAGGGAGAAGAGAAAAAAAGACAAGCAAAATGAACACTCACAGGACTACCATTTCAGTTAGTGTTTGAGGCCACTTAATTTGTTCATTTTTTTTTTATTTACTAAAAGTTCTAATAATTTTGTGAAGGTTAAATTTCAGATCATGGTTAATTACAACTGAGGCGTATAAAATACACGCTTGCTACACTAGGCTCACCCTTCAGACAGTGAGTGTATTTTGCTGACAGTATATTGGTGAGGGTGTACCGACCTGCCTGGTAAGTGCAGCTTCTGGTGAGACGCTTAATTATCTTTCCTAGTGCTCTAGGCACCTTTGAAGTCCTTACAACTTCTACATCATCATCATTTTGACCTATATAGTTGGCAAAAGAATTTCTTTATCTCAAAAATTATTATCCAAAAGCTTAACTGTTGAAGCTTTAAAGAACAGCCACACAATTTCCAGTAAATTTAAATCCGTGTGCTTAGAGTAACAGTTGATGGATTTTATTGTTTTCCTATGTTCTCCCACAAAATGTATTCCAAGTTTCCAGGGTACAAACAATGAAGACACTAAACTCTGAGGCTTTCTAAGTACACAATTTACAAAATATTAAAATGGCCTGATAACAGAAATACTCACAAACTCTCTGCAAAGTTCCCAGGTTCTAAAAACCCTGTAAGATTTTCTTCTTTTCCCTTAAGGAGCTGTGATGAAAGAAAAGGTCCTTAAGTCATTACATTAAAACAAATCTTTCCACAGAAAATATTTTCACATAGTTTCTTTACTACTTACAAACCTTTTTTTCATAGAGTTTCCTAATATAGGGTTTCCAGAAATGTTCCTTTATTCCCTTTGCTTCCAAAACGAGGCCATCATGTAGGGAACAGAGCTTCTCAATGACACAAGGTGGGTCCGAGGAAGGTTTAGAATCCTTAGCATGAAAATCTTCAGATAGGCCTATAATGAACAGAATCACAGAACAGAGAGATCAGGTAGCATTCAACAAAACAAATCATAATAAACCAAAATACAAATAGTCTAATCAGCCTACGAGTTAGCATTTGAGCATATTGGAAACAGTGTATAGGGGCATAATTTGACTCTAAATATACCTCTAAAATAGCAAAGACAAAAGACAACATATGCAGTAATCTCTTCAATATCATCCTTAGCAACATACTTATGGCTATGTGTCCTCAAGCAAGGGAAACAAAAACAAAAGCAACTACTGGGATTATATCAAAATAAAAAGCTTTCGTACGGCAAAGGAAACCATCAACAAAACAAAAAGGCAGCCCAGTGAATGGGAGAAGATATCTGCAAATGACTTATCCAATAAGGGGCTAATATCCAGAATATATAAAGAATGTATGCAACACAACACCAAAAAAGGCCCCAAGCAGTCCAATTAAAAAATGAGCAGAGGACCTTAATAGACGCTTTCCAAAGAAGACATCTAGATGTCCAACCGACACATGAAAAGAAGCTCAATATCACTGATCACCAGGGAAATGCAAATCAAAACCATAATGAGATATGACCTCACAGCAGTCAGAACGGCTATTACCAATCAAAAAGACAAGAAATAACACGTTGGGGAGGATGTGGAGAAGAGGGAATCTCATACGCTATGGGTAGGATAGTAAATTGATGCAACTACTTTGGAAAACAATATGGAATGTCCTCCAAAAATTTAAAAAAGAAATACCATATGATCCAGTAATTCCATTGGACATTTACCCAAAGAAAATGAAAACACTAGTTTGGAAAGGCCTATAGACCACCATGTTTACTGCAGCATTATTTACAATAGCCAAGAGATGGAAGCAACCCAAGTGTCCATCAATAGAGGACTAGATCTCTCTCATTTTCTCTCTCCATCTCTGTTTCTGTCTCACACAAACACATACACTCACACAAGAATATTACTCAGCCATAAAAAAAGAATGAGATCTTGCCATTTACAACAACATGGGTGGACTTAGATGGTATTATGCCAAGTGAAAGAAGTCAAACAGTGATAGGTACCATATGATTTCACTTACATGCGGAATTTAAAAAGCAAAAGAAATGAAAAACAGGCTCTTAAGTATGGAAAACAAACTGGTGGTTGCCAGAGCAGAGGTAGATGGGGGGAGTGGGCAAAATGGATAAAAAGGATTAAGAGTACAAACTTCCAGTTATAAAATAATAAGTTGCCCCCCCGCCCCCCACCGCCCCACTGGAGTGTTCCTGGGCCTGCTGGTCTGTGGTGAGCCCGTCTCTGTTCTACGGGATGGGGTTTGCTGTCAGGAATAAGGCTTGTATCAAGAGACACCAAGTGAAATTTAGAAAACGACAAGAGGGCAAGACTAATTACTATGCTTGGAAGCGCTTGGTAATTCAGGATAAAAATAAGTAGAACACATAAATACAGGAGGACAGTCCACAGAGAGATCAGAGAAACATCTGTCAGATTGCTAACGCTCGTACAGAAGGAAATATGACGGCTTGTGCAGCACACGCTTGTGAACTCCCAAAGAGCGGTGTGGAGGCTGGCCTGGCAAAGTGTGCTGCAGCGTGCTGCATGGGCCTGCTGCGGCCTGCAGGCTTCTCAGCAGGTCTGGCCTGGGCAAGGTCTAAGGAGGCCAAGTGGAGGTGAGTAGAGATGAATACAGTGTGGAAAGCATTGATGGTCAACCTGACGTCTTCGCCTGCCACTGGGATGCAGGGTTTGCCAAAACTACTCCTCTAAATAAAGTTCCTGGGGCCCTGAAGGGAACTGTAGACGGTGCCTTGGCTGTCCCAAATGGTACCAAATGATTCCCTGGTTGTGATTTGGAAAGCAAGTAATTCAGTGCAGAAGGACAGCGGCAGCACGTCATGGGTCAGAAAGTTGCAGATTATATGTGCTGCCTAATGGAAGAAGATGAAGACACTTACAAGAAACAATTCTCTCAGTATATAAAGAGCAAAGTAACTCCAGACATGGAGGAGATGTGTAAAGCTCACACTGCTCTGGCAGAGAATCCAGTCTAGGAGAAGAAGCCTAAGAAAGAAGTTAACAAGATGTAGATGTCTCCCAAAATGTCTTTTGCCCAGAAGAAAGAGCAGGTAGCTCAAAAGAAGGCAAGCTTCTTTAGGGCTCAGGAGGGGGCCACTGAGAGCTAAACCAAACCACAATTTCTATGAAGGTATTTCAGATAAAGACAATAATAAACATATTCACTAAGTAGCTAAAATAAATGAAGAAAGGGGCGGCTGGGTGGCTCAGTTGGTTGAGCATTTGACTTCAGCTCAGGTCATGATCTCCCGGTTTGGGAGTTCAAGCCCCGCGTGGGGCTCTGTGCTGACTGCTCAGAGCCTGGAACCTGCTTCGGATTCTGTATCTCCCTCTCTCTCTGACCCTCGCCTGCTCGTGCTCTCTCTCTCTCAGAAATAAATAAAAAACATTTAAAAAATAAATGAAGAAATAAAAATAAAATAAAATGTACGAGGCATAGAGATGAAAAGTACAACATGAGGAATGTAATCAGTAATACGGTCATAACCCAGCAAGGTGCCAGATGGTGACTACACTTCCTGTGGTGAGCGCTGAGTGATGCAGAGTTGTCGACTCACTATGTTGTACACTTGAAACTAATGTGACAGTGTATGTTAACTGTACTTAAATAAAAATAAATAAGCAGTAAATACAGATAAAGTGTATCACTACTCAAAAAGACTTCAGTTAATTATTTATCTGGAGACAGTTAAAGAAAACAAAAGCTGAGGTAACAATTTTAGCATATTGCTAGAAGAGCTAAAAAACATGAAAAATAAAACTTTGCAAATACGTCTGACATTCAAATAAAAAATACAACTTTGAAAAAAGTACTATTCAAAGTATATACTATTTCTATACTTTCATTTCATTATATTAGATGTAGTTAACATATTGATTTACAGCTTATGCTTGCCCAAGACTCAGGATAAGAATAAATAAATAAGGGGCGCCTGGGTGGCTCAGTCAGTTACGCGTCTGACTCTTGATTTCGGCTCAGCTCATCATCTCACAGTTCATGGGATCGAGTTCCGTGCTAGGCGGCTCTGGACTGACAGCACGGGGTCTCTCTCTCTCTCTAATAAATAAATAAACTAAAAACAAACAACAACAAAAAAGAATAAATAAATAAGAGGAGAAAACCAAAAAGAAGCCACTGCATAGAAATATAAAAGGGAGTTAGGAAGGAAAGGAGACAAAGGAGAGAACGTGAAAAACATTAAATGTACGAAGCAGGAACAACTAAGTAACTCCACTAACTTTAAATATCTACCTTGGGGTCACCTGGGTGGTGGCTCAGTCAGTTCAACTTCTGACTCTTGACCTTGGTCCAGGTCATGATCTCATGGCTTGTGGGATCAAGCCCAGTGTCAGGCTGTGTACTGACAGTACGGAGACTCCTTGGGATTCTCTCTCTCCCTCTCCCCCTGCTTATGTGTGCATGTAATATTTATAATATTAATTGTAAGTTATAATTTGGTCTCTTACTGCATATAATACATAGAAATAACATGGCCTTAAAGCTCGATTAAATGTATTGCCAAAATAATCATTCCTATTCATCTTTTTAGTTTAAGAGCTAAGAATTCATTTTACTTATTCACAACCATACCGACTCCTCTTCTGTAGGAAAAAACCTGAAATGAAGATCATTTCAATAAATCCATTTTGAGCTCCTACTGTGTGTCAGACGCAAAGCTTGGCAACGTAGAAAAACAACATCAGTTTAATGTGACTTTGCTACTGTAGGTTTTTAAATCCTTCTTGCTGTTTCAGAAATTTCTCAACTTGTCATGTAAGACTTTACACTTTGTAATGTTTGCAACTGTTCTTTCCATAAATATTTTTACAGGGGTTTAAGTAATTATGAGTACTGTAGATTATGATGATGGAGCTTTTCAAAGCACTTAACGTCTCTGATGCTAGGAAACCTGTGGTATATGTACTGCTCCCAAGAATAAACACAATGTAGAAATGTGAGGTTTCTAATAATCTTTGATTTACACACTTACCTTTAAAATTAGGGTTCACAAGTTCTTTACGGTTGGAACACTGAAGGGCATTTCCATAAACCAAGTCCAAAGCACACAGCAGAAGATGATAAGAATTGACCAAATCATCACTAATCATGGGGAAATTGCCTATAGGAATACAAACAGTTATCAAGTAAATCTGCATCAACTTTACAATGGTTTAAACATAACGTCTCCCTTTAATTAAAATGACATTATACACGCACCGTACAACACTTGACTCGAAAGCTACATAAAGTGTTCTGGCAAATTTGCATTTTGAAATATTACTCTTAAAGTCTAATAAATTTCTGAGAGTGTAACTAAAACCAAAACTTTACAAAAAATGACATTCATTCACTCAATCCACAGTCATTCAACAATCATGAAATCCCTAGTAGCAGACTAAAATTTTATCACTGCTTTTCTTTGAAAATTCTAAACAACTTCATACATATCTCCAATGGCAGCAAATTCTTTACTGTGAAAATATTCTTCTGTTAAGAAAATGAGTAGATATTATATACCCAAAACTAATATGTTACCTATATTGAAATTAAAATTTTAAACTTAACTAATTAAAAACAAAAAAACTGAAAAAACTAAAATGAAATGAAGTGAAAATGAAAACACAATGGTTCAACATCTTTGGGTCCAACATCTAGTTTAAAAAGCAGTTCTAAGAGGGAAATTTATTAAAAAAAAAAAAAAGCTTAGTAGAAATACTTAGGACAGGAATAGCTGAAGAGTGATTTTTTCATGTATATACTTTAAAAAGGCCAGAACCTATAATCAGACTCCTAATAGTAACATTTGAAAGATTTTCTAATAGTAATACAAACTGATACAAATTAATACAAAAGGACCACAATGAAAGGTATTTAAGTCTAGAGGCAATATCCTGGAAATAATGCTGATGCTTAGTAAACAAAGAAAAAAGAAGCCCAAACTCAAACCTACAGAAACATGTCATTTCTGAAATGCTAGTTTACATCTAACACTAAAATCAGTTTTTATAGGCAACTGAACAGTTTTATTCTTAAAAATTAAGAAATATATGGGGCGCCTGGGTGGCTTAGTCGGTTAAGCATCCGACTTTCGCTTAGGTCATGATCTCGCGGTTCGTGGGTTCAAGCCCCGCGCCGGGCTCTGTGCTGACTGCCAGCTCAGAGCCTGGAGCCTGTTTCAGTCTGTGACTCCCTCTCTCTCTGACCCTCCCCTGCTCACACTGTTTCTCTCTCTCTCTCTCTCTCCTAGAAATAAATAAAACATTAAAAAAAATTAAGAAATATCTCTAGAGTTTTTAAATAACTTTGAGCATATCCCTTTTCCCATGAAACACAACATATAAAGGCTTCCTAGTGATTTTACATCACATGAATTCAATTTAAATAGCTCACATACATCTGAGGAATTATTTCTAAGCCTCCACATTTTTACACTTAATGCCTACCCAAATGCATGCAAACACCCACCCACCCACACACACACACACACACATACACACTGCTTTGTTTCAGGCTTTTTTCTTTTTTTTTCTCCTTTCCTCCAAAGAAAGTTACCACTTACCTCTGCATATCAGGATAAGTCTTTTGTATAGAGGATTCAATGAATCAATTTAAATGAATTAAAGAGAAAAAAATACTTTTCTGTTGCCAGAAAAGTGAATGATAATTAACAGGTTAAGTGTTGCACTGATAGAACCAAACTAACTTGCCTGCTTCCACTATAAAGATTTTTAATATTAAAGGAGCCGGTTTCTCAAATGTAAGACAGGAAGGGGCACCTACTGGCTTCAAGCTACAAAGCCCGTCACACTGACAAGCCTAAACTTGTCACTGGTGTGTACTTGTCATCAAGGGAAAAACAGCAGCACAGTAACTTCTAACAAAAAATGCCCCCACGGGTCAGAATCTAATTTAAAGCCCCTGGCTGTCCCAACGTGACAGACTTGGAGTTTCAAATCCTGACTTTAGAAAGAAATGTCACTTTGCAAGGGAGGTAGGGTGTCTTTCCAACAACAAAGATTACTTGTTTAAACTCCAAAATTGGCATATTTATCAGGAATGAGGAGACTGGTAGATAGTAAAACAGGAAGTGGCACCAATCGGTCTTCAGGCCGCAAAGCCCTTCATGATGACAAGCCCCAACTTGTCACCAGTGTGTACTCGCCATAGGAAGTCAACAAGGGTAACAGGCACAACCCTGGCTTACCTATCAGGAACGACAGTCTGGGATGCCTGTATGCTGCAGAGAGAGTCACGGGGAAAGGGGCGATAAAAGAGTACAATACAACTCTCCCCCAAATAACTAAATCGAGACCTGAATAAAACTAATTAAATCTTTCCTTTATCAGAAAAGATCGTAGTGACTCATATGAGATCACAGCGTTGGACTGTCAGGAGACGAAGCCTCTTCAGATTAAATAATTACAGGCTGAATTAATAACACCACTCCACCATGGAGTTAACTGCAGAGACAAAAAATATGCCACCCAGTTGATCGAGAGAGACCAAAATGTAAGTAAGGAAAATAAAATTCTTTTAAAATAATTTCTATCGTATCAAATACACTCATTCCCAGGGACACATATGCCATCAAAAGCATAAACAAAAGAGATAAAAATCCCAGAAGTCAGATACACTTGCCCACAACCTAATGGCACGCTTAGTATCATATATACTACCAGCGGCGCAAGCTAAAAGTGGCAGCGAGGGCTAGTGGCCATGAGGAGAGCAGCTTATATGCTCCTACACCGCCTTTTCGTGCCATTTATCATAGTACCTTTATCTCCACTAGAGAAACACGCCAGCGTGATGGAAAGCAAAATAACTAACAGTTTATTTTTGGCAGAAGAAAGACTTTTCTTTTCAATCAACCACGTAGCTCAGGGAGGAAGGATGGGCTGTCACCTAAACAGCTAGAGACGACCAGCTATAACCAGACACACCAAACCCGGAGACCCATGGAGGGACACATCCTTGCTCAAGGGCCTTCACATCTGGCATGAAACCAAGAGCTAGATCTGGGTTCAAATCCTAGCTCTGTTTCTAGCAGTGAATTTGGGGGCCTCCATTACCTAGTCTTTAAATAATTTGGGCTACTTGAACTAATAATGAAAATCTCTTACATTTATGAAATTCCTTCCAGCTCTATGACCCTTTGATGATAACTTTGTATTTTATGGGGCTTGCTGAATAGCAAAGGCATTCTACAGAGTTTATGTAATTAATATAATTGTATTTTTTCTTCTTCTTTAGATTACTAAGAATCATTTCTGCATAGAAATATAGAGAGGACACACAAAAATATAAAAACATATTTCACTGAAGACAGACCTCGGGTAAGTTAAGGGAGATGAGAGGGGAGAGAAAATAAATTGTATCCAAAGGCACTGGAGCAAGTGTATTTATCTGAACAAGATGCAAAAAGTCATCTGGACTACACTAACGGTGAGCAGTCACCCTCAACAAAGTTAAGACCCAGCTCATGAAAGATACAGCTCAAGATACCGATACAAACCACTACTGTGTTTTCAGTCCGTAATTCAGAAGAATAGCTCTGGATGGAAAAGATGTTATGTAGGAACAGATTAAAAGGATTTTCCATTTAATAAAAGAAGCTTTGGACATTATAAACAAATTCAAAAGACTTATGAAAAGACAATACTTAAAAAACGCATCTGAGATTCAAGCCACTGAGAAATTTTTCAGTTGAATCATTTCCTGATACACACTGCAGATGGACAAAAGTAGTACCTGAACATTTAAATGAGCTAACATCTGGATAAATATTACTCTGTCTTACCTTTTGCGTATATAAAAAGCACCCAACAAAAATGGAAAACTTCGGACACGGTACAGGGCTGTCGCCTGCAGGGGAGAAAGAGAGTTGTGAGAGAACAGAAGAATTCAAAAAGGACATCACAAATGACTATAAATGAGGTAACAAACAAAGCCCACAGGTAAAGGGAGTCATAGGAGATTCACTTCACATGAAAAATGTGAAAGAAGTTCTGCTCCAACCAAACACTGGTAAGGACGGAGCCGGGAAGAGAGTTCACCGCAGAAAGAAGAAAAGTCTGAAGAACTATAAAAGGCTTTCAAGGTCAAGACCGGTAAGGTAGAAAATGCGGAACAACAGTTCTTTTGATGACACCAGCAAGGCTCATGCTGCTGTAGGACCCGTGTATGCCCTCAGACAGCTCCCCACTTTCCCTTCATCGCGGCTAGTGGCCTGTCAACCCTCGCTTCCCAAAGACATTCCAGGTTATATCGGGTCACAAAAGGACTACTTCATGTAAATTCTAGGCTTCCCAGAATTCCTTCCTCTTTATCCTTAAGACTCTCCGTGACACTTTGCCAAGCTGTCTGCTAAAGGGAGTTTCGGACTTGTTTTCAGCTCTCGGCTTTTCTAGCGAAAGCTCTGCCACTGTTGAGAGAAGACATCTGCTGTCTCCACATCCCAGCGAGGAGCTCTGAAGGGAAGAATCAGGAGACTGGGGTTCAGTTCTCCCACGGTCTATAGCTCTGCACGCTTGCCCCCATGTGCCTCGGTCTCTTTATCTGCTGAACAACTAGTCTCCTTGCATAGGAAAAGGTTTGTACTTAATTCAGCAGTCCGTGGCAAGGCTTAAATGTCAGTGCCCTGCTTTTAAAAATGGCCTCCCTACCCCAGGCACATAACTATCCAGACTTGATGCCTACCAAGATAAAAATCAGGTTTTTTTAAACATTTTTTTTCTTAATTTGAGAGAGAGACAGAGACAGAAAAAGAATGGGGCAGAGGAGCAGAAGGAAAGAGAGACAGAATCTCAAGCAGGCTCCACACTCACTGCAGAGCCTGATGGGGGCTCGACCTCCTCAACCGAGAGATCATGACCTGAACCAAAATCAAGAGTCAGACAGGCAACCGACTGAGCCTCTCAGACGTGCCTCTTTTTTAAAATTAATCATTTTAAAGTCAACCTTTTTAGCTTAGAACCCAAGCCACTCTAAACACCAAATCTGTGACTCAAGCGCCCTAGAACTTACCCTTACTGACTTTACTCAGCCAGTTGCCTCTTACTTTGCCACTGCGCTGTATACCTCCTTTATCCTGTACGAAGAAGGCTCCATCTACAGCTCCAGAGTCACCCATCAAAATCCTGCCCATCGTTCCTTCTTCCATGGAGCTGTACCCGAGCGGCTCATGCGCAGTGCTTTAATGTTGCCTCAGAAGCTGTACGTTTCTGTTATCTTTCGCATTTATGCATGCCTCCTCTCCACAACTATACTGTAAGCTCTCAAAAGACCTTGGCTGTGGGTTTTTGTTTTTTTCAATACTTGTGTCCTGTGTCATCCCTAACGACATACTTCACACACTAAGTTCTCAATATGTACCCAGTGACAAACTTTCAGAGACTGGTATGTGTGGGGTATAGTATAGAGTCGTGGTACAGCACAGGGGTTCTGCAAGCGACTACTGGTGTCAATGACAGCTCCACACTTACTGTGTGATCTTGACCAAATTACTTAACCTCGTATGTTTCCCCGCCTGTGACAACAGCATCAACCTCAGAGAGTTGTCGTAGGGATTCATTCAAGTAATACAGCTTTAAATCCTCAACAGTTCCTGCCCCATAGTAATGCTCAGTAAGTGGAATACATTATCATCACTATGAGCCAAGAGTACTAATAAAAGTATACAGTATATTTTAAACTTTTAAAAATAAAGTTATCTTCTAATTTTCTTAACCAGAATTAGGTACTATACATAGCCTAATAGACATCAAAGGAAGCGCAACCTAAAATCATTTTCTACAACACTCCAAAGAAAGAAGATAACCTACATCTTTCTGTAAATGATCACATCAGCCTCGCTCGGATTTAGAACAAAGCATCTATTCAAACTGTATTTAACTGTACAGAGTCAACTCTCCGAAATCACAAGCAAACTGGACCAGCTGCTTCCCTATCAGAGGGGTCAACTATACAAGAAAGTACACAGTTTGCTTGATTTTTAAATTGATTTTTGCCCCACTTTTCTTGTCAACATTTTTCTAGTTCTATTTTAAGAACAACTTCCATTTCTACCTTATAAAAAAGGGTTCATGATAAAGGTAGAGGATTTGGATCCCGTGACCGCCTTTATCTCTCAGGAAAGATGGGAAACGCCGAGCCAGAATGAGGCTACAGATTTTGAAGACCTACTCAGAAAGCACAAAGTCATAACAGTTTCTTTACCCCTATTCTCCCGCTGTCCAGCCTCTCTACTCTTGATTGGTTGCAAACATCAAAATACATAGAGAAGCCAGGACGCAGGGGATTATTGCCTACTACATCTGACATAAAAGTCAAATAATAGAAATAGTTGATATTATACAGAAAATAATAGTAACAGTCAACATAACCAATAACATCAAATTAAGGAGTGGCTAACTGGTGCAAATACATAAGGTCTGAGGTCTGCATTTTGGGTTGCTTAAATGAAAAGGGAGAGTTTATAGAAAGAATAATCCCGTGCACTTTGCAATATGAAGGAGGCCAAATTCTTCACGGCTAACATACAATGAGAAGGAAAAATCATTATTTAAAGAAAGCCACCGGAAAGAAAGATTATTTATGAAATCACAAATGTTTTTTATAGACTAGCAAAATATGCTGAGAGACACAAACCGAGCAAAACTGCAGGACAGATTTTTAAAAATGTGTTTTTCCTGGGGCGCCTGGGTGGCTCAGTCAGTAAAATGGCCGACTTCAGCTCAGGTCATGATCTCGCACTCTGTGGGTTTGAGCCCCGCATCAGGCTCTGTGCTGACAGCTCGGAGCCTGGAGCCTGCCTCGGATTCTGTGTCTCCCTCTCTCTCTGCCCTTCCCCTGCTTGCTCTCGGTCTCTCCCTCTCTCAAAAATAATACACATTAAAAAATACATATTTAAAAAAATGTGTTATTCCTGACTAACAAATATAAAAAAGACATACCGCTGCTTTCTTCCTCTCTGTTGACGCGGCTGCTCCTCCTGAGGATATTTAAAAATGTCCTGGAAAATGGGTTCATATTTCTTAAAGATTACCGCTGACACAGTGAAGTTTCTTTCTAGCCTCTCAGTACGCTCTCTGAAATGTGGGGGTAGATTCGCCATGTCTTCCCACTTCTTCATCTTGTTAAAAAATTCAATTAAGCTGATATTAAAAATAAACAATGAGATATTTTCAAAATCAACACAAAGGTAGGCTACACAAATATCACTAAACCAAAGTGAACTCGTTACATTACTTTTAGACAGTGATATAAGATCCCAACTCATGCCTCTGACTAGCTTCGTGTCTTACCGACTGGTGTATTTCTCTGATTTCCCTAATCTACTTCTTTTCAGAGATGGCCTGAGTTTTTAAGTTATGAAATAGATAAAAATACAAAACAAGTCATCAGAGGAATGCAACCAAGACTCATAGACCCAACTGCCAGATTTAACAAACATTAACATATTGAATGAATTGTCATGTTCGCTTCAGGTTCAACGGAAACAGCCAAATTCTCATTTGTACTCCTCCCCAAACCCAGGGCCCCCTTTTTTCCCCCTAAAGAGGACTACCATTCTCAAGTGAGTCTGAATCCTTCCCACCCATGTGTTTATATACTTACTGCTTAATGCACTTACTATACCATCTATATATATCCATAAACAGTAAGTAGTATCATCTTTATGTGTGGTTTTAAGATTTTATACGAATTGTATCACACTGTAAATCGCATTCAGCAACTTGTTTTTTCATTCAATGTTTCTGAGATTAACATTAATAAGTGCAGATCTAGTTCATTCATTTTAATGGTTAAAAATATTCCTGCATATGAACTACCATGACTTTTTGCTTTCATTCCCCAACCAGTGCAAACTGAGGTTTCTAATTTTACATTAGAAATGTAATGTAATGTAACGAACACATTCTTGCACCAGGATGTAAGAGCTTCCTTAGGGACTATGCCAAGATGCAGAATTGCCAAGTCAGAGAAGGTGCATCTTCAACTTTCCAAGAGACCGCCAAATTTGCCACTCGAGTGGCCGTGCCAATTTACAGTCTCCCAGTGCACACCAGCAATACAGACTTCCTGTTTCCCTACATAGTGACTAGAGCTGGTTTTATCAGCCTTCAAATTTCCTTGATCTAAAGAGAATGACAGTTACCCTGCTTTGACTTTGAACTTCCTTACTGAACTTGTTTATATACATCTATCAGCTATGTGAGTTTTGAGCTTTGTGAAATCACATTCTTTCCCCATGTTTTAGTACCCATTTAGTTGTCAATCATGCAACCATTCGTTAGCAGTTCTTTATATAATTCTGGACACGGATCTTTTGTTCTTTCTACATATTGTAAATATCTTTTCCCAACATACTCTTCGTTTCTAATCCATTTTAGTCCAGTATGGCAGAAAAGTAAATAATCTGAACCCAGGGGTAAAATTTAAAGATAGAAACTGAGTTTTTGAAATGGAAACACAACTGAAGCCTAGGACTAGATTACTTGCATTAAAATGTTGGGTAAATTCAATTTACTATGGTTTATGATGATTCCATAATTTGACCTTTGCTCCTAAAGTTCCTTGTCTGTCACTTAACTGGATCACCCTGCCTCCATTTTTCTTCTCCGTAATGACCGTACTCTTGCACCTTATTTAAGTCCACTTCTGCAGGTGTGCAGACCAGATGTTCAACTCTTTATGCACTGCCTCTTGTTCTTAGGCCTAAATACAACTCGGGACGGAGTTCAAGGTTAAATAGGCTACAGCTAAAATATTACATTTCTTGTTCATTATTTTAATAGTAAGTGATTTTTTTAAAACATCAGGTACATAAGTGTTGACAGTGTTGACAGTGGCATTTCCCCCACAAACTGCCAAATATCCTTTTCCCACCAATCTTTAATAAGCCATAAGAGAAAAGTCACCCAAAAGGCACAAATAATAAATGTAATCAATTACACAACAGATAGAAAAAACAATTTCTGCCTCTTCTTTAAAACATGATTTGACCCTTTCAGAAACTGATCATAATAGTGTTGTATACCAGCCCCCCCGCCCCAACAGCAATTGAAGAAGTATTTACACATTCCATATATATTAAGATACAAATCCTGGGCATGTAGTTCTAAGTTTAATACCATATTTTATTTACCTTTACAATTCAGAGTATTTCCTAAAGTTTCTCTAATATCCTTATTTAGAATTTTCCCAAGATCATACAATAATAAGTCCTAACCTTTAATAGTATACTCTTCATATAAGACTTCTGTTTTTAAAGTTTATTTATTTATTTTCGAGAGAGTGAGTGGGGAAGGGGCAGAGAGAGAGAGGGAGAGCAAGAACCCCAAGCAGGCTCCACACTGCAAGCGTAGAGCCTGATGCGGGGCTCAAAACTCATGAACTGTGAGACCATGAGCTGAGCTGAAAACAGGAACTGAGGGGCGCCTGGGTGGCTCAGTCGGTTGAGTGTTAACTTCGGCTCAGGTCATGATGATCTCACCGCCGTGGATTTGAGCCGCGCATCGGGTTCTGTGCTGACAGATCAGAGCCTGGAGCCTGCTTCCGATTCTGGGTCTCCCTCTCTCTCTGCCCCGCCCCTGCTCATGCTCTGTCTCTCTCTCTCTCTCTCTCTCTCTCTCAATAATAAATAAATGTTAAAAAAAAAAAAAAAAAAAAGAGTTGGGCCCTGGACCGACCAAGCCACTCAGGTGCCCCCGTACAAGTCTTAGTACATTAAAATTTCAATACTTTTCACGAAAGAAGTAAAATATAATGGATACTAACTTAGATGTGATAAAGGAAAACCATGACCTAGTCTCTAAATCCAGCACTCTTTAGGTACAAATGCCCTGGAAATGATAAACAAAGAGAATTCTATCACCATGATTTTTGCGCTTTTACATTTGTTACACTCTACTTTTCAAACTCGGACATAGTTACCTCTGCTCAGAACATCGCAGGATTCTAGTTAAAGACACATAGTTTCCTTCAACCGTCCCTTTGCTTACAGTTGGCACAGATTTTCTGCAAGCCACATATAAGGCACATGCTAACCAGTGAAGGTCATTTCCCTGTAAGATAAAAGATTACTGAGTTTTAACTAGTGAGCTAGATATACATTTCAATATAAAAAACTCTGATGATTAAACTGAAAAGTGCTACTTTTCCATCTGTGGGAAACTGTTTTCAATGACGCCTCCATTGCCTGTGCTCTCTTATACTGTGACACTGACAATTTCACACTGGGAGATAGCAATCTGTTCTGTGTCCTTGTTTTCAACTATCTCAACCAGGAGCATAGCAGAAGATGATACTATGTAACTTGCAAGATCAAACAGGCAATAAAGATTCTACCTGGCTCAGCTCTCAGTTCCTGTGCCTTGGGGCGGGGGGAGGGAGGAGACCTTCTGTGGGACAAATGAACAGTCAGCCTCAATTTCCTTATCGGAGGGCTGCGAAACAGCATAGGAAATACAAGAAATCAAAAGATAAAATTCTATAACCGATACTCTGTATTAAATATCATACGAGCTTTATTCTCCACGAGACTGACATCGTCCGTTATCTTACATCACCCTGACTATAAGCTCCAGGAGTGCAGGGAGTTTTAAGTTTTACTCACTGCTCTATCCCCACCGTCTACAACAGTATCTGGCCAAGAAGAGGCAAAAAGAAAAAAAAAAAATTATAAATGAATAATCATCCATTTGCTGGGTAAACTGAGCTAAGAATCTGAGATCCAAGTCTTAAAAAAAAAAAGACCTGAGTAATCAAACGTGTTTTGAAAAATAATATACTGGGGCCCCTGGGTGGCTCATTCAGTTAAGCCTCCGACTTCAGCTCAGGTCATGATCCTGTGGTCAGCGGGTTCAAGCCCCACATCGGGCTCTGTGCTGTCAGCTCAGAGCCTGGATCCTGGTTTGGACTCTGTCTCCCTCTCTCTCTGCCCCTCCCCCACTCATGCTCTGTCTCTCTCTCTCAAAAATAAACATTAAAAAATTTTTTTAATCTTCAAAAAAAAAAAAGAAAAAGAATATACTATTATTTGCCACTTGCTTAACTAACACTGGATTTCACAGAACTTAACCCCTGTGAGATGAGATACCTCAACTATGCGGTGAGAATACTTCTACGTAATGAAAAGATTATCGTAAGAATAAAATAAGAGCTTCTTTGGAAGCACTTATGCCCATAACCAAAGAGCCGCAGGAACCACGGACCACAGAACCCCTGAAAAATAAATAGGAATATGGCCTATGCAGCCACATCACCTAAGTATACGAAAGAGCTCTGCACACTCTAAAGAACAAGCACTGTCCACGACAAAAACTACGCATTTTTTAAAAAATATTTTTATTTATTTCTAGGGGGAGAGAGAGAGAGAGACAGCATGAGCAGGGGAGGGTCAGAGAGGGAATCACAGACTCTGAAACAGGCTCCAGGCTCTGAGCTGGCAGTCAGCACAGAGCCCGACGCGGGGCTCGAACCCACGAACCGCGAGATCATGACCTAAGCGAAAGTCGGATGCTTAACCGACTAAGCCACCCAGGCGCCCCAGAAACTACACATTTCTTATCAAACCTCCAAATCAACGCTGTGACGTAGGTACCAAGAAATTCAAATTTACATATCACAGAATTGAGTGGTTAATTGTCCAAGGTCACCTAGGTCAGTCAAGCTCTATAGACAGCATATCACTCGGCCTTCCCCCCCACTCGCACCCCCCTTTTTAACTACAGGGAGAAGGAATTGAAATAAAATTCTATTCATGCAGGAATAAAAAGGAACCTCGGTGAGTCACACACTATCAGAAACACCCTATTATAATTAAATGATACTTTGGGGAGGCCCTCCCCTTTTGAGCCTATCTGCCCTACTCTTTCCACAAACTAAAACATGTTGTTCCAGAAAATCACAGCCTCGGGCTCCACGCCACACACAAGCCAACAGCGGGTAAACAAGCCACACTTCCGCGTCACTTCCCATTGGTCCATAAAGGGGAGGTGCCTACGGGGTCGAGCCTCACTGGCTAGAATGGCCATTTTTCTCAGCGGCGAGCCCCGTCCAGAGAAAGGGACACAACAAGCCTAAATCGCAGCGGCTGTGGGGTCCTGTGCAACGTCCGGGGTGACCAAAAGGCCCTCAAGGCTGTCGCAGCCCCAACTTCCTGGGGACAAATGCGGGCGTGTGTCTCTATCCAGGTAGGCAGAAAGCCCGTGTCGCTCGCCCGAAGGAAACGAACACGGTTTCCGCACAAGCACAGCCCCCGAAACTTGACAACGCGTCTACCCCACGGGGGCGAGGCGGGGACAAAGGCACTTGGGGACAGCAGGAAAGGAAGGGACAGAGACGCCTAGCAGCCCAGGCGCTAAACTCGGGTTACTCTCCGCGGGAGCACGGCCAAAAGTCCCCTCCCCTCCTCCTCGCGGTCTTCACAACCGCACCTGTTCATTCGGCCAACAAGGTGGCTGTGGTTTTTGCCAATCGTGGTCTCAGCACGCGGGGCACGACCTCAGCCCCGCGATGCCGCTTTAGGGCAAGAAATATTCCCCGCTCGGAACCCGAAAGAGAACAGCTGCGAGACGGGGGTCACTCTCTGGGCCGCTAGGAGCCTTCCGACAGCCGGGTCTGCAGGACTAGGGGCCGCAGGGAGGACCCCCGCCGCCCTCCACGCTGGGAACCGGAGACCCGGGACCGGCCCGAGGGTCCCCGCCGGGCGCCCGACCCTGGGAGGGGAGGGGCCCACCCCCGCGGCGGGGCGCGGCAACTAGGCCCGGGAAGCACCCCCGTCTCCTCCCCGCCGGCGCACCTCCAGCGTGTAGCTCTCGCTCATGTTCCGGTAGCTGTCCCAGGCCTCGGCCCGCGCCGCCTCGTCCATGTTCAGGCGGCTGCACAGCTCTTCGAACCGCTGCAGGGTTTGAGGGGCCGGCGAGCGGGCCAGCTGCGCGGCGTCCTCCGCCTCGCCGTCGTCTTCCTCCTCCTCATCCGAGGCTCCCGCCGCCGGAGGAGGGGGCGGGGGCGGCGGCGACTGGTCGCCTCCCGACGGCATCGCGCACCCCTGGGCGGCCGGTCCTCAGGTGAGCTGAGGGCCCGGGCCCGCAGCCATTCAAACCGCAAAGCGCCCGCCCGTCGGCCGTCTGCACCGCGACTGCGCCGCCACCAAGGAAGCCCGACCTCAAGTAGGCACCCGTAGTTCTGAGCACGGCCTGCTGGGACATGTAGTTCGGGCCGGAAGCCCACGGAGGTCAAAAATCATACTTAAAGGGGCGCCTGGGTGGCTCAGTCGGTTAAGCGTCCGACTTCCGCTCAGGTCGTGATCTCACGGTTCATGCGTTCGAGCCCCGCGTCCACTCTGTGCTGACAGCTAGCTCAGAGTCTGGAACCTGTTTCAGATTCTGTGTCTCCCTCTCTCTCTGACCCTCTCCAGCTCATGCTGTCTCTCCTTCTCTGTCAGAAATAAATAAAAACATTAAAAATATTTTTCTTTAATCATACTTAGTAACTAAACTCCTGTTGTGTTATTTGGGCTAAAATAAAAGAGGCTTCGCTACGTTTTAAGTAGGCCCCCATGCTGAGACCGTTCAGTAGAACCTTACTGAAGAGAAAAAACATCGACTTCTGACGATGTGTCTAAGGTGTCTCCAAAATTAATCCTCAATATCTGGATGTCCTTATCCTGAAAATAAGGATAATAGCAAGCAAGGAAGGACTTTCTCCTTCTCTCTCTCTCTCTCAAAAATAAATAATAAACATGAAAAATTTTTAATGTGTGTCTGATCTGGAAACTTTTGATCATGTCCCCCTAAAAGAATTACCTTCTAGCATATTTTAAATTTTTTTTAACATTTATTTTTTGAGAGACAGAGCCTGAGTGGGGGAGGTGCAGAGAGAGAGAGAGAGAGAGTCAGAGATTCCCACACAAGCTGCAGGCTCTGAGCTGTCAGCACAGAGCCCAACTCCAGGCTTGAACTCAGTAACGATGAGATCATGACCTGAGCCGAAGTCAATTGCTCAACCAACTGAGCCACCCAGATGCCCTACCTTCTAGCATATCTTAAAGTTGACATCTAAAATATTTCATTATAAGTTTGATCAGGTGTAACATCCAACATGTAATTATAACCCTTTTAAAATAAAACTGTTACTAAACTTTAAATATATCCAATGAACTCTAAGTATCATAACAATTTGATACTATCAACACTTTAAAATAGATGAACAAGGGGTGCCTGGGTGGCTCAGTTAGTTAAGCATTTGACTCTTTATTTCGGCTCAAGTCACGTTCTCACAGTTTGTGGGTTTGAGAGCCCCACACTGGGTTCTGTGCTCAGTGCATGGGGCCCGCTTGGAATTCTCTCTCTCTCTCACTCTCTCTCCCCCTCCTCTGCTTGCAGGCTCTCTCTCTCAAAATAAATAGATAAACATTTAAAAATACATGAACTAGTTCTTTAACAATTAGAAATTCTATATTGTTCTTTTCTCTCCTTTACCTCTATTCCCATTCCAACAAAATTTTATCTTAATATGTTTTGTGCTTGAAAGTTCTTTATTGATTTATTTCATATTTACTTTCAGGAAAACCATACATACAAATGAACTTTTTCAAGTATCCTTCTGTTTATTCTTTTATGGCAGATTCATCGAGGTATAATTTGCATGCAGCAAAATTTACTCTTGTAAGAGTACAGGTCTATTAATTTTTTTTAATGTTTTATTTATTTCTAGGAGAGAGAGAGACAGTGTGAGCAGGGGAGGGTCAGAGAGAGAGGGAGTCACAAACTCTGAAACAGGTTCCAGGCTCTGAGCTGGCAGTCAGCACAGAGCCCGACACGGGGCTCGAACCCACGAACCGCGAGATCATGACCTAAGCGAAAGTCGGACGCTTAACCAACTAAGCCAACCGGGCGCCCCTAGGCCTATTAATTTTGACAAATACGTACAGTTATGCCCACCACAATCAAACTATAGAACATTTCCACCACCTGAAAAGTTTCCTACTGCCCCTTTTTGGTAAAGCCCTCATCACATAGCCCCCTGGCAACCACGGACCAATTCTCTGTCCCCATAGATTTTCCTATTTTCTAAAATGTCATATCAATATAATCATACACTAGATAGCCTTTGAGCTTGACATCTTTCAACTTAGCATAATGTCTATTAGATTCCCTCAAGTTGTCACATGTGCCAGTAGTTTGTTCCTTTTATTGATAAGTAGCATTTTATTGGATGAATGTCCCAAAGTGTATTTATTCATTCTCAGATTGAAGATATCTGAAGATATCTTGGTTGTTTCCAGTTTGGGGCAATTATGAGAAAAGCTACCATAACATTTACATAAATGGTTTTGTGTAACACGAGTTTTTCATCACTCTTGGGTAAATACCTAGGGGTGTGCTATGGGCTGAAAGTGTGTGTCCTTCCCTAATTCATATGTGGAAGCTCTACCCCCGCAATGTGATTGTATTTGGAGATAGGGCTTTTCATAGGTGATTAAGGTTAAACGAGGTCATCAAATGTGCGGCCTTATAAGAAAACCACATGCATAGACAGAAGAAAGGCCATGTGAACACAGAGGGAGAAGTCAACCTCACAGACTGAAATGGAATGCTACTCCTGGGTTATATGGTATATATTAAATTGTATAAGAAACTGCCAATTTTTTTCTTTTTTAATTTTTTTAAATGTATTTATTTCTGAGAGAGAGAGAGAGAGAGAGAGAGAGACAGACAGACAGACAGCGTAAGCAGGGGAAGGTCAGAGAGAGAGGGAGACACAGAATCTGAAGCACGGTCCAGGCTCTGAGCTGTCAGCACAGAGCGCGAGACGGGGCTCAAACCCACAAACCATGAGATCACGACCTGAGCCAAAGTTGGACACTCAACCAACTGGGCCACCCAGGCGCCCCAGCCAATATTTTTTTTTTCCTAAGGTGGCTCTATCATGTTACATTCCCACCCTGCTGGAAATTTAAGTTTGGGGATTAAGTGGTACCAACTTCAAGTTAACAAAATAAAAATAAGTCATGGGGATGTAATGTACTATGTAGGCAATATAGTGAATAATATTCTGATAACTTTGTATGGTGACACATGGTCACTAGACTTATCATGAGGGTCCTTTCATAATGTATAAAGATAGTGAATCGCTATGAGGTACTCCTGAAACTGATAGAATATTGTATGGCATTATTCTTAAATTGAAAAAAAAAAATCAATTTAAATGTATTTCCGGTGATCATGAGGCTAGAATGACTGTATCCCTTCAGATTGAGCGATCAGATAGCTGTTATGCGACTGTGGCTTCAACTGCATTTGCCCTGTGTTTACAAGTCCTCACAAGTGTTCAGAGAACCGTGTGTTGGTACCAACAGAAGCCTTGTGTTTTCAGCTTTCGGTCAAAGGCACTATCTACTCAGGGAAGGCTGAGCGGAATTTCTATTTCACCTGGGGCCTGAAGAGTCTCTTCTTGAGACCTGAGTTAACTAGCATGGTATTTGTGATGAATCCTAGTCAGGTGTTCGTGTCCCGTATGGGCTAATACTAGAAACCCAGCAGGTCTACTTCTTTAAGCCAACTTTCCCTATTATGAATGAGCATTTATTGCCAAAAATCCAATCCAAGCATGAACGACAAAGACGAGATGGAATACACGGGGAAGCCTCGGCAATCTGGAATAAATACAACCTGTCCTGTTAGTTGCCAATAAACGATTATAAACAGTCATGGCCTCATGATGCCTATGAGGCCTAAGGAGTAGGTATTGGGCTACATACCCTCAACTGTTTGTACTACTGAGTTTTAAAACACTTTGTCTAGGGCGCCTGGGTGGCCCAGTTGGTTAAGCGTCTGACTTGGGCTCAGGTCATGATCTCACCGCTTGTGGGTTCGAGCCCTGCATCAGGCTCTGTGCTGACAGCCAGCTCAGAGCCTGGAGCCTGCTTCAGATCCTGTATCTCCCTCTCTCTCTATCTCCCTGACCCTCCCTTGCTCACACTGTGTCTCTCTCAAAAATAAATTAAAAAAAAAAAGTTTAAAAAACATTTAAAAATGCTTTGTCTATCTTTATCTTCCTTCCTGCATTCAGGCGATGTTTCTTTTCACTGAGGTCACCATAGGACCTGTTTATAACCTTTGTTCTCCTTTCTTTTACTGGGGGGAGGTGGACTTGCAAACAATAACTGTAGTGTCTGGGAATGTGTGTCAACTTAAGGACAAATAGGCCATGAGTGAGGGCCTCACTCTGGGTGGAGAGCATGGACGTTAACTGAGTCAGTTTAAGACATCAGTCATAACTGGGGCGCCTGGGTGGCTCAGTCTGTTAAGCATCCGACTTTGGCTCAGGTCATGATCTCACAGTTCGTGAGTTTGAGCCCCATGTCTGGCTCTGTACTGATAGCTCGGATTGTGTGTGTGTGTGTGTGTGTGTGTGTGTGTGTGTGTGTGTATCTCACTCGCTCTCTCTCTGCCCCTTCCCCGTTTGTGTTTTTTTTTTCTCTCTCTCTCAAAACAAAATAAATATTTGATATTTTTTTAACATGTATTCATTTTTGAGAGAGAGAGAGAGTGCGAGTGGGGGAGGGGCAGAGAGAGAGGGAGACACAGAATCTGAAGCAGCCTCCAGGCTCCTGAGCTGTCAGCACAGAGCCTGAGACGGGGCTCGAACCCAAGAGTGGTGATCATGACCTAAACCCAAGTCAGACGCTTAACAGACAGAGCCACCCAGGCGCCTCTATTTTTTTTAATTTTAAAATACTTATTCATTTTTGAGATAAATATTTTAAAAAAGAAATCAATCGTGACCAAAAAAAGTCCCCAGGAACCAGAGCAACCTTGGAAAGAAGAACAAAGTTGGAGCCATCACACTTCTTGACCACACTTCCTGATTTCCTATACTACAAAAGCAATCGTAATCAAAACAGTGTAGTATTGGCATAAAAACACACGCATGGATCACTGAACAAAATAAAAAGCCCAGAAATAATCCCACACATCGAGGGTCAATTAATATACAACGAAGGAGCCAAGAATTTACATTGGGAGAAGGATAGTCTATTCAATAAATTGTGTTGAGAAAACTGGACAGTCACATGCAAAAGACTGAAACTGGGTCATGTGTGTCTTATATGATACACGAAATCAACTCAGAGTGTATTAAAGACCTGGACATAAGCCCCGAAAACAA